CCGTCCTCTGTAGTGCAATCTTCTGGTGAGGGGTCAGTGTAGCTGGGATTGGGACCACCCCTCAAACCTCTCAGTTCGCTGCTGCATGCTGCTATGATGCCCTCAAGGCTTGGAGTACCAGGTTGAGTTTTTATTTTTCAATTGTTTTATTGACCAAACCAACCATTTGTAGGATTGATAACAATTCATGGTAATAACGTCTATGTGTTTAAGAGTAAAGCTGTGTTCCTTAGGGGCTAAAAATTTTTTCTTTTAAGTGTTTTAAGTGAAGTTTACACAGCAAGTAGGTTCCAATTTAAAATTTTTCTTACAGATTTGTTGCATTTTTTACAGTGTGTCGGCATTCTTGTTTTTTCATTTTCTTTTGCTCAAATCTCCAGGAGTCTAGCTTGTCTGCCTGTCTTTGCTTTCTCTTTGTGTTATGGTTGGTGTTGACCCTTTGCTCTCAGTTGATTGTTAAAAGAAGCACAGGTGATACTGTTTTTCTTAAGCCATCTTATTTAGCTGAAAAGTGAACTCTATAGTGGTGTCCATTCAAAGATCAATGAGTTTATAAGGGGGAATAGTCTCAGGGAGTTGATAATCCAGCAAGTCTAGCCTTTTTTTTAACTTTAGGAATTTGAATTTTGTTCATTTTTCTCCCATTCATTTTAGGACATCTAGTTGTGTCCCTGGATACAACAATCACTAGTGGTAGCTAGACACCATCTAGTTCTAGTCTCAGGCTAGAGGAGGCCATGTTTTGTAGGCTCTTAGTTCTGTGGTCTAGTATATTCTTTGAATATTTGGTTTCCTTCCATTCTTATGCTCTAGATGAGTAGAGAGTAAATGTATTTTATTTTTTTAACAGTTTTATTGACACTTCATCTGTATATCATGTAATTCAGTAGTTCAGCCGTATCGAGAAGTTGTACATTCATTACCACAGTCAATTTTACAACATTTTCTTCTTCTCTGTATGCATTGTTATTCATGTAATTAAAAGTTGTATTTTATATGATTGCTTGAAAGCTTTTAATACCCCAGAGAGTACCCATTAATGTAAGATGGACAACGTTCTCTTTATAAATTGTTAGTTAACTGAGATTTCCCCTGATATTATGGGTCTAAGCCTTTTAACCTAGTAAGCCAATCCCATGAGCTGTTTAGATATGTCTAGGAAGCTTCCATCTTTATGTGCTTCTTCACATATATGAATATATATGCAGCACACACAAATGTATGTAATTTAAAAACTATTTTGCACACAGAATTTTTGGTTGATGGTTCTTTTCCATTCAGCACTTTGAGTCTGCTACCCTACTGTCTTCTGGCTACCATTTTTTCTATAGGGAAATCCCTTTACATATGACTGATTTTTCTTGTGGCGAGGATTTCACTTTTAACTTTTACTTTTAGCAATTTTTTCACTTTTAACTTTTACTTTTAGCAATTTACCTGTGATGTGCCTGAATGTGAATATCTTGGAATATCCTTAGAGTCAGTTAAGCTTCTTGGATGTATAGATTAATGCTTTTCACCAAGTTTTGGGTGTTTGGGGCCATTATTACCCCAAGGCCAACCAATGATTTAATCATTAGCTGACCAGTACAGTATGGGTAACACCTATGATGGCAGACTTAAAAATAAAAACAATATATATATTTTTAAATAGCAAAAAATTTTGAGAAAATACACTAGTCCTATATGACAGGACAAACACACTCCATGCAGTTTAGTAAACATAAATGTAAGTAAATAAATAACCACCCTACCAACCCTTGTGAGTGGCCAGCCAAATTAAGGTTTTCTAACATACATTAACGAACATGTTATGGATTGAGTTTGATAGTTCCTGGTCAATTGGAAAGGAGGCAAAACTGCATTTGTTTCTAATAATTTAATTTGCTAAATATAACAGATTAGCTCAACAGTTTGGATTTGAAAACCTTATTAAGATCATCATACATGAAGCCATTAGATTTATTTTGTAGTTTAATTGTGTCTGTTCATGTCAGTTGAAAGGAACCCTATTAACGCTGTCAGGTAAGCGTTCGTTTCCTAATTATAAAGTTGGTACATCAAGTTGAACCAGGAACCTCTGTGCTGCTATAACCTTTAACAGGGTTATCATGAGTCTGCATCAACATTATGGTAGTGGAATTGATTGGTTGGTTTAAAAATACAAAGTCTCATCTTTCAGCTTTAGAGCAGCTTGTGGGGTAGTTGTCAAACCACTGACCCAATGTGTACCAACTACACCACTTGAATTCTGAAATGTAAATTGAAGTCAGCAACATTAAAAATAAAAATAGTGTAGTACACTTACAAAAATAATATTAAAATTGGTTAATGAATTGGCAAAATTGTATATGTGTTATTGGTGAAAAAATACAGGAAGCATTGTATTATTTAATTTTAGGTTTAATAAATTCTAGCTGAGAAGACTATAGGATTTGCATGATGGCCAAACATTTGGAATAAATTCCTTTAAAGCCATGGAATGCCTATTATGTAGATACCTACCACGAGTTAGAGGTTGTATTGGATCATATGGCAGATAAACTAAATTCATTTTGTATTCATTATATTTTGTTTTTTACAAAAATTTTGAAAGTTTGAGCTGACACTTTATATAATTCTTATTTATATTTAATGGTGCTACTTGACTCTAAATACCAATCAAGTTTGTCCTTTCCAAAAGGTGCTGTGATAGAAATTAGGTAGTAGGGTTTACGTTGTCAAATTGCTTGTGGTCTGATTTAAAAAATTTGGGATGTGGGTTGCGGCATATGAAAAATGTTTAAAGGACAATAGTGATAATTAAGATTTGACATATTATTTATTTTTCTTAGAAACGGAGACTTGAACACAGTAAAAATGTAAATACAGAAAAGCTGAGAGCCCCTGTTATCTGTGTCCTTGGACATGTGGACACAGGGAAGACAAAAATTCTAGATAAAGTAAGAAATGAATACGCATTGGTATAACTTTAGAAATAAACATGGTATCTTGTTTTTTTAAAGCTAAGAAAAAATCCTAGCACCTATGAGCATTGCTGTTTAAAATAACTTTTAATTTCTAATTTCTTAGTATTTTTGCATTGAACTTTTTTCCATTTCGAGTTACAAAGCGGAATGTCTTGTCTTCTCACAGCTCCGGCACACTCATGTCCAAGATGGTGAAGCAGGAGGCATCACACAACAAATTGGGGCTACTAATGTTCCCCTGGAAGCAATTAATGAACAGACTAAGATGATTAAAAGTGTAAGTGCTCTGTTTCCCACATGGGTGTGTTAATCTCTAGTAAAAATTGGGAGAAATCATTTCAAATATAGAAAAAAGGACAGAGAATAATATAACCGATCCATGTGCTCTCTATGCAGAAATATATGTGTGTAATATAAATAATATATGTAAAATTTCCCCTTATTTGCTTTAGTTCTTTCTTTTAAGAAATAAAACATTGGATAGGGAAGGAGTCCTTACATTCCATTTCCCCCCTCTTTTCCAGAGGCAACCATTACTCAAAAGGTGGAGAGTAATGTTTTCATAATTTTACAATATATTTCCATGCTTAAAAGTTATATTTCTTCCTTCAGTCTTTTTAACAAATTGATCATATTTTCTTTATGTCTCTTATTTGCTAAGTATTCAATTGATTGATATTAATATCACATCATAAGGAAAAATCACCTAAGATAAATGTAAAGCTAAATGAACCCTTTTAAGTGCTCCCTTACCAGAAGATAGAACCCTGTCAGATCTTCTGAAGCCCTTTCCTAATCCAAACCCTCTTCTTCCACCCAGGTCTAACTTTCAAGGTAATCTCTCTCTCAGTATTTTGGCATTTCAAAATCATGGTATTCTGTCATCCAGCTTTCCTTACTGGATTACTTCCATCGAGACACTTGACTTCACCTATATGTCAGTGAAAGTTTAAATATAGGAAAAGCAGATTCTTCCCCTTATTTTCAGCTTTTAAAATGAAAACGACAAATTTGGGTTTTGTTTTTGTTATTATAAGCTAATAGATGGAAAATTTCAATTGCTTGTCAATCCATTTCACTTGTTATCAATGCAGTGGTAATCCAGTTTTGACTCGGTATTTTTTATGTAATTTTCGTAATCTTAATTGTAATTTGATTTGATTTCATCCATGAGTCTGGTTGTAGCAAGATGATTGAGGCTTATCTTACATCCTGCCCAGGGTCTGGAATGACCAATTCTTTAAGCGATGCTGTTTGATTTTATAGTAAATGGTTCTCAGGTCTACAGTCTAGATACTAGGAAGTGGCCAGAGCTAGGAAATTAGAAGGTAAGTGTATGTGTTTGTATTTAGGACTTCAGAGTGTTTGCTTCACTACTGCTAACTTCAGACTCTTGAGTCTGAAGGACAGTGGGGGATGTTAGAGTTAGAATATCACGTAAATACTCATTTGCTTTATCCTGTATCAAACAAACGTTCTCAATGTAGCATTGAGATTCTCCCCTGCGTGGTGGCGGAAGCCATTTTAAGTGTTTTGTGTGTGCGCTTCCTCTTCTTTCTCTCTCTCGGCTTTGGTTCATTTTCTTCTGACAGGTGCACACCTTCTGCACTGTCAGAGTGCGTTGATTTGGACCTACTTGGGAGACATATAGCACAGCAAAGTTAGTTATAAAAAAATTATGAGAAGATTTCAGTAGTGGAGAATTGGTTAAGAAGGGAGGAAAAGAGAACATTAAAAGTAACCTTTGAACGGAAGGAAGGGTATCCCCCAAAATGAACAAAGTGGAGAAGGGAGAATGCTCTCCAAGGTTGGAATTCTGATCTCATTTGAGGGATGTGGTCAAAACTGATGTGATATTAGCAAAGTATTCTAGGTTGTCCTGGGCCATAGCTGGTCTTCAGTCAGACAGAGAACCAACCATCTGCTGTGGTATTGACAAAATTGGCAAGAACTGCTTGGAGCTTGTTGACTTGCTTCTGGAAAACCATTTGGAGTACCTGCTGCATTCCTGGGAAGCTGTGGGGGGCTGGGAAGGGCTGTTGTTTACTGGGAAGCTGTTGTTTAAAAATCATGTGAGCTTGATAACCACAGAACTTGTTGGTAGCTGTACCTTGAATTTGAACTCAAAGGTGCTGCTGATAGCCCCTCTGTGTGGGTGGGGGGATGTTTAAGTTCTTAACTGCTAAACTCTAAAGTTAGCATTTCAAACCCACCATCCACTCAAGCCACCAACTGCTTTGTGGCAAACAGACGTGACTGCCTCTGGAAGGATTCCAGCCTTAGGAACCCTGTGAGGCAGTTCCACTCCGTCCTGTAAGTGCCCGGTGATTTGGAATTGAGTCAATAACAATGAGGTTTTTTGTTTGTTTGTTATTTTGGTTTAAAGCAGAACAGCTTCCAGTTCAAAGCACTTCATGGGAAGTGTTGCTTATTGCTGGTGTGTGTTAGGATGGTGTTCTTTCATCATACTTACTCAAGCTATAGGCTGAGCAAGTAATCTGAGATGGTGGACTATAATAATGAACATGGTTTGAGAATTGAAGATTCCTCATTAAGGGCTTACAATATTCATATGACAACTTTGCTTGATGAAATGAAAACAAAAAGGACTTGAAGCACCGACTGGAGAAAGCCATAGACTACAACTTTCAATATCGATTACAGTTCAACACCCAGAAAGCCAGACTCCGCACGACTATACCAATAACTAATAGGATGAATGGAGGAGACCGTGAAATCACCAAGGATTTCATTTTCCTTGGATCCATAATCAATATGCATGGATGCACAAGTCAAGAAATAATATATTGCATTGGGAAAATCTGCTGCAAATGACCTCTTTATAATGTTAAAAAGCAAAGATGCCACTTTAGGACTAAGATAGGCCTGTCTCCAGCCAAGATATTTTCAGTCCCTTCATGCATGTGAAAAAGCTAAACAGGGACTAAAGACTGAAGAATGGACACCTCTGAATTGTGGTGTTGAACACTGGAAGTCCCAGACACTGCCAGCAGAACTAACCGCGAGTTTGGCAAGACTGTCTCACGTACTGTGGGCATGTAACCAGGAGAGACCAGTCCCTGGAAAAAGGGCATTTTGCTTGGTAAAAGTAGAGGGTCAGTGAGATGGATACACAAAATGGCTCAAACATAATTTTGAGGATGGGGCAAGACTGGGCAGTATGTCATTCTGTTGTGTAAGTTTTATTTTGCCCCTACAGGAGGCAAAAATGTAATTTGTAGCTGACGTATCAGGGAACTGATTGCTGACACTCAGAAAACGGAATTTTATGTGTTAGTCTTTACCCTTATTTCTTATTTAGCCTTAATTTTGCATGTAAAATTAACTTGTGGACTTTTATTCCCAGTTTTTGTTTTGCTCAAGTTTTTTATTTTTAAGCATTTGATTGTGCTGGGCATTGGGCTGCTAACCTCAGGTTTAGTAGTTCAAAACCCCTAGCTGCTCTGCAGGAGAAAAATGAAGCTGTATAGCTTCAGTAACTTAAAGGGATAGTTCTATTCTGTATAGGGTTGCTGTGACTTAATGACAGTGGTTTGGTTTTTGATTGTTGATGTTCTTTTTGTCATTTTTTAGCTCATTTTTCAGTTGATTCCTTATGAAGAAATCATGGAGTTAATATTTGAATTTGAATATTGAGTTATTTCAATGGCTTTTACGCTGGAATGACAGTTGGCAATGTATAAAGTAATTTGGTCACATTTCCCTTCCTTAAATATCTTAAATGTTATTCTAATTACTTCTGGCATATAATATTGTAATTGAGTTTGATGACAAGTTGAAATCATTTGATCATTTTGCATCTTGGTTTTGCTTGTTCTGAGTGAATTGTCTAGTTATGTGGGGTTCTATTTCAACATGAAGTTTTATGTCTTTATTTCAGTACTATTTTCTTGAATTAGAGCTTTTAGAAATTGTTGTTTCCTTGTTAGTTTTCAGGAATTTTAATTATCCATTGTACAGGAGTCATTCTCAAAGCCTTTTGATCTTTTTATTAAAACTTTCCTCACCATCTTCTCTTTTCCTTAAAACATAATCCATGCTTACTCACACTGGTGTTGGTTTTATTTTTAATATTCATCATCTCTTCCAATTAAAAAGCATAATTCTTTGCTATCATGTCTTCAGATTTTCTCTTTTTCATTTTGGGTTTTAAAATTTTTTTAGAACACACCTTATTCTCCCCCTGGTTTTAAGACCTTCCTTTAGTAATAGGCATTTATTTCTGGTTAAGAGGAAGGTCTTAGGAATACTAAGCCTTCTATTATGTCTGACTCTGTTCTTAAGGATTATTTCTCTATGGTTTGTAAGCTTTATTAACATCTGCACATGAATCATTTGTTGTTGGGTGTTGGTGCCATGCGCAGTATGTTCTGGAGATTTCTTTAGGAGGCCTTTTCCTACCCCCACCCCCCCCTCTTTTGGCCGTTGTTTTGTTCTGTGTATCATCGGTCTAGTACTGGTTTCTCATTTCTTGGCCTGAGAGTTATGTGCTCTTATCTATAGATATCTGTAGCTAACCGTAGGTATAGTTCAACACATTCTTAGCGCTAGGGCTTTTAAACAAGAGACCTAACTAACTCTCTTCCTAAACCTAAATATTTAACTGTAATGCTCAGCAAGAATTGACATACAAATTTGGAACATTTACATATGATTCATTTTAACTAATTTCAGTGGATACAAATAACCAAAATCACTTGAAGATCAGTAAAAGGATAGATAGTATAAATGTTTGTTATTGTTTGCTTTTGTTGTATGTAACCTGTCATTTTTATTTTTTCAGAGCCAAAGTGAGATCTGTTGTAATGTTTGCATTCACTTATGTACTTGTGTCCAGAAAATCAAGAGTTTCTATCATTGAATAAAATGAGTATGAATTTGTTATTTAAAATTTCAGATCAATGTGGTATATTTTAAAATCTATATACTTTGGAATATTCCTGAGAGTTTAGAATTTAAGCAGATGAATTTTACAGATATTTAGGAGCTCCTCTTATGTTGCAGCTTCTCATTTATCTTTTCTCTCAGATGACTTCTACTGTTTAATATTGCTTACTAACCTCTAAGAACTCAGACCACATGTTAGGACCATAATAATAATAGTAAAATAATAATAATCATGCAACCCCACTGTCAGCATTTTTGACGTTAATAAAAATATAATGGTTATACTTTGTGGTTGTCTTTACTGTTTTAAAGAAAGACATCTGCAGAAAAGAATGGTGATATTTTTCCATATTGCGTGACACTTAATTGTTTTCTAAAGAAGCTTCCATTGTTCTAGATTTCTTAAGCTCTACTCTTTCATCCCATATCTTTCTAGTTTGATAGAGAGAACGTACGGATTCCAGGAATGCTAATTATTGATACTCCTGGGCACGAGTCTTTCAGGTAAGAACAATGTGAACCTTTTTCATCAAGCAAACGTCTTCAAACTATTAGGTCCTTTAAAAGTTCAATGGGTGAAGAAATCTGTTCAATCACTTACCTTTGGGCAATAATTGAGATCTTTGGTTACTGTAACTGCCCTTCCTCATTGATTTGTTTTTTTAGCCCTGTTTTATTTGGATATTTGTTTTTTTATAGAGGGAATCTTTGCTACTTTGAAAGAGCAGTTCCTTGGTGTGGGGTGCCTAGCAAATCCCAGTACACACTTGGTGTCTCTCTCCTGAAACCTATGAGGGGTGGAATACTATACATTTGTGTCCTGGCCGTATTCCTTAGCACACAAACTTTGGTCAGTGAAAGTGGCATAAATAAGGGAGTAACTTCTGGAACACACTCATCCTGGCTCAAGTCTGTCAGATAAGCACTTGTCAAGTTAAGGGCTAATGGCACTTTAACAGTTTAATATGTGTACTCTCTTTTATTTATTTGCTTAGGATATGAAAATTCAAAAATTGTTTAAAATGTCAAGGCTTTTCTATTTAAATGTTTTCTTCATTTTTTCAACAGTAATCTGAGGAACAGAGGAAGCTCTCTTTGTGATATTGCCATTCTAGTTGTTGATATTATGCATGGTTTGGAGCCTCAAACAATCGAATCGATCAATCTTTTGAAATCTAAGAAATGTCCCTTCATTGTTGCACTCAATAAGGTAAGCTCTTCTGAGACATTTAAAATAACACATACTTTTTAATTATCTGTAACTTTTGAAAATATTGAGTATTATACTAAGCAGTGTGCTTTGACAAATTTATAGACATGTAGGCACCATCATTCAGATTATATAGCATTTCCATATTCCCAGAAAGCTTTTCATACAGTCTGCACCCCCTCCCCTCCGTCCCACCTCCAGCTCCAGGCAAACACTGCTCTTTGTCACTAGAGGAATTGCTCTGTTTTGTAATTTCGTCTGAATGGAATCACAGCATGCAATCCTTTATCTTCTTTTGTTATACATGTGGTTATGGACGTACATATTCTTTCTATCTATATCATCTATCTATCTATCTATCTATCTTAGGTGTCTGTTTTTAAAATCACTTTATTGGGGGCTCTTACAGCTCTTTTAACAATCCATACATCCATTGTATCAAGCACATTTGTACATATGTTGCCATCATCATTTTCAAGACATTTTCTTTCTACCTGAGCCCTTGGTATCAGCTCCTCCCCTTGTAAACCTCTGATGTTTTAAAATTATTATTTTCTTACGCTGTCTGCTGTGTCCCTTCACTCACGTTTCCTTTGTTTATCTCCTGGGCTGGGGGTGGGGCAGTTGTACGCCGATCATTGCGATCACTTCCCCTTTTCTACCCCCATTACGTATCTTTTTTATTGTTAAATGATGATGCTCCATTATACGGATTGTACCACACTTTGTTTATCCACATTCTCTACTGAAAGATTCTTATATCGGTCCAGTTTTAGGCTCTTTGTGAATAAAGCAGCTGTGAACATTTCTGTACAAATTTTTTGGTTTTGTGAGTTTTTTCCCTCACTTAGAATTGTGGGGATATAAAGTGTGTGTCCAGTTTTAGGAGAAACTGCCAACATTTTTTCATAGATGGGCTACCATATACCATTTGATAGTCTTCCTAGTGATGTATAAGCATTCAGTTGGTTTACACCTTTGTCAACACTGCCCTACCTGTAACCACTTTAATGTATTGCGATTTTCGTTTGCATGTCCCTGATGACAAATGCGTTGAGCAGTTTTTCATGTACTCATTAGCCATCTTCATCTCTTTTGAAGTACCTGTTCAAAATCCTTTGTTCACTTTTTAAAAAAAATTGGAGTTAGTTGTCTTATGAAATTAGATTCTTTATATATTATTGTTTAAATCCTTTATCAGTAATATGTATTGAAGGTATTTTCTCATAGTCTAGGACTTGCTCCCACCATTCCATACCTGCCCCCATAATGATGTTTTTTGAAGAACAAAAATTTCTAATTTGAGCAAACTCAAATTTATGAGGCGCTTTTTACTTTTTTTTTTTCTGTATGTGTCCTTGTGTATGTATGTTTTTTATGAAGACAGTGTTTTTCTACCTTAACTTTCTGGGGAAAAAATTCTATCATTCTTAAGAGATTTAATCAATGCATTTAGACCTAGGAATTTTTATTTAAGGCTGCAGGTCCACTTTTTGCCAATATGGCTTATCTTGGAATCTTTGTAAAAAATTGCTATTTTGTGCAGTTCAATGAGATGTTGGTTCAACAAATTGAATAAATAGTACTTTTTGATATTAATATGTATTAACATGATTTTATACATATGTATATATGATTTTATACATTAGAGATTTGAGGGGCGCTCTTAATCACAAATTCCTGGGTTTTGTGAGTGCTTTAGAGATGATTTTTACAAAGAAACCTTTTCAGATTGATAGGTTGTATGATTGGAAAAAGAGCCCTGATTCTGATGTGGCTGCTACTTTGAAGAAGCAGAAAAAAAATACAAAAGATGAATTTGAGGAGCGAGCAAAAGCTATTATTGTGGAATTTGCACAGCAGGTAAGAATTCTTTCTCTTCTCTATAAAGAACCTGTATCACAGAAGCATTTCTTTTGTTACGTTATCATAATGAAATTAGCACTTCAAACAGTACTGGTTCTGCTCCTACTAACCGCAGTTCTGCAGTCGTTTCTTCCTTTTCCCCAACTTCCTCTTCCTTTTTAATGTCAGAGTGCTGATCTTCCACAGATCTCCCTTGGCTTTCTAAAAGCTTTAGTTAAAAAAAAATCAAGTTGGCTTGGAAAAAATTTTTAATATAATTATAGCTACATGACATGAGAAGATTTGAAAAAGTTCATGGTAAAATTCCACTATTGTTTAGCTACATGTTTCCACATACTTAAAATAGTTTTATTGGCATATAATTTACATACCATATTTTAAATATATTAACATTTATGCAGTCATCACCATAGTGAATTTTAGCGCATTTTGTTCATTTTTTATCCATTATAACTATCCATTTCCCACCTGACTTTGCCTGCCATAACCCTAAGAAATTATTAATCTAATTATTGTTCATGGATTTACTTTATCCTGGATTTCATATAAAGAAAATCAAACACTTTCCTCCCTCCAAAAAACCCCCAACAAAATGAAACCCAGAGAAGCCTCAATCTAAAAGCTGAAAATAATAAAGACCATGACAAGTTAGAAATGGGTCAAAAGGAAAAGAAATGATAAGATATTAAATTCTTAACCTAACTACATCTACAGTGATCAGTTTTCCAGTGCATTCTGAGAACAAGACTTAACACATCCCTTGTTAATGCACTTAGGAAGTTCAGTAGAGGCGCAATCCACTTGAGGAGTCTGCAAATAGATTTTGGGCTTTTGCTGTCATCTCTAGCCTTCTACAAACCCGGTGCTTAGAATGTAAGCTCTAATCCAATCCTCTCCCCATCTCAATCATGGATTTTATTATTAATAATCCTTTGATCATAACAACTTGTGTTTCTTCCGTATAGACTTAGCTGACACCTTACTTGTTGGCTGCTATTTGTAAGACAAGGCTAGGCTTTCTACTGCCATAAACAGTTACAGTCTCAAAAACCCACAGGGGGCCTACTGGAGTCAGCATTGAGTCAATGGCATGGAGTCTGGTTTCATTTCTTTAAGACCCAGGTGCATTTTTCTTTTCGATAGCCAGGCACCATCTGATTTCTTCTTCATACTTTGTGATAAAGGCAAGTCTCCAACAAGACCACATCGTAAGAACTAATTGTTCTTAGATTAGGGCTTGCAATTAAGTGTGAGCTCAATATTCATTTTTGTATCTAAGGTTTATATTAATCCATGGTTACTTTAGAGGCAGCATTATCAGTTTCTTGAGAAATGTAAATATGTCTGCACGAGACATTTGTTAATTCAAATAACATCATTAATCTAGCCAAAGGTACATAATTTTTAATGATACTGGGAAAAGGGAGAAAAAAACATGCACACGTACAATGGGTAACCAAAAAACCTGGAATCTCACCCCCTCCCCCAAAAAAGCTGTGTATTTAATTTTTTTTTAAAGCCAACCTTATCACCTTCAAAGTATACTTTATTACACTTAATACATTTGTCAAATCTGGATTCCATTTTGGAAACATGTTTCAAATTCATCTGTTTGGGTGGCTGACAGCACCTCCCTCATTTTTTTCTTCACCTCTTGTACGTACTCAAATTGCTCTCCTTCATGTCCCTCTTCTTTCGTGGAAACAAAAGTCACATACAGCAGCAAGGTCAGGCTAGTGAGGTGTGTGGGGAAAGAGAGGCATGCTTGGGTTTCTTTTGCCCAAAATCAGCACACTGAGATGGCTGTGTGACAAAACCAGTTACCCGTCTGCCACGAATCAGCCCTTTTTTGTCACACAGTTTTAGACTAAAATACATGGAATACACAGTTTAAAAACTTAAGTAACTGAACAGTTTAAGAAATTAATTGTATTTTCTTAATTAGTGTCCACCATTTTACCTTTCTAGCTTCTAATATTTATTGCATTGGCTACATAGAAACTCACAGACAAAATTTATGATTAAAGAGTTGACGGAAGTTAACTAATTGTAATGCCAGTGCAAAAAGCCCAGAATAGTTGTTTCCTGGGACACTTATACCAAGTTTCAGGTTTGCCAGTAAATACCCCATGTGGCTTTCCACTGTGCTGTAAACCCCAACCAGAAGACATTCGGCCCAAATTCCATGTGCCAGCAAAACTAGCTCCCTGAACTACACGCCCAGAGGCACCCACCCCAGTGCGTCTCAGCTCAAAGGCACCCCGCACCACCTCCATGGGGCAGCAAGTCCAACATCTGCAAGTAAGTGCGCCAAGGCACCCACAAGCCACAGAAGATAACACACATATCCTCCCCTTCCTGTTGTATTTTTGATGTTATCACACAGAAGGGACTGTTCATCAGAGTGGAGGAATACCAGTTTAGGCCTTCTATAAAAGTTGTCATAAATGTTTGAGCCCATTAGGGGAGTACTCATCTTAACTTGCTCCTTGGGTTGGGAAGTCTATTACTCTCTACCATGCTCTGGTTCCTGGTTATGCTGCTGCTGCTGCTGCTGCTTTGGTCGTGTAACTGTCATCTGGGTCCAGGAGGTCCACCGTGCAGGGATCTCTGATCCAGAGACACATTGCAATTCTGGCTCTTGCTAGTAGTGTGATCCCTCTTCCTGTTTCTCAGAGGGTTCATTTTATACGCAACAGGATGCTACTCCAGGGAATCCTGTCGGAAATTACTCACAGGTGAATCCGATCAGTTTCTTCCCCCCTTTTTTACCGGATCCATGCAGGGAAAGGTCATTTGTTTGGGGTTAGAGACTTTGGCTAGAAGAGTCACATTAAATCACTGCCCCTTCAACGAGTTGGAGTCAAGGCAACAATTTCAATAACACATGAAGACAAAACTGTGCTGCAGGATTTTTCCACAAGCTTTTGAAGTTCCCTCATGTACCATAAGTTGTGAGTGTTTAGAGGTGTGTTAGAATGAGTAACATTTAGCTTCAAATAATCATTCCTATTCTGGTTGGCATTTTAAGTATTTTGCTTTTTATGTGTCTAGGGTTTGAATGCTGCTCTATTTTATGAGAATAAAGATCCCCGCACATTTGTATCCTTGGTACCTACCTCTGCACATACTGGTGATGGCATGGGAAGTCTGATACACCTTCTGGTCGAATTAACCCAGACAATGCTGAGCAAGAGACTTGCACACTGTGAGGAGCTGAGAGCGCAGGTGATGGAGGTAAGGCCTGTTTATAGTTTACTGCTTTTTTTGTGTGTGTCTCAATTTGCAGTCTTTTGGTGTAGGGATTTTTTGCTACCATTTTTTAACTTAATGAACTTGGTCCATTTTAACATATATTTTACTGCCTTTGCAATAAATTTTCTCAGGTTAAAGCACTCCCAGGAATGGGTACAACTATAGATGTGATACTCATCAATGGACGACTGAAGGAAGGGGAAACAATCATTGTTCCTGGAGTAGAAGGGCCCATTGTAACGCAGATTCGAGGCCTCCTCTTACCTCCTCCTATGAAGGAATTACGAGTGAAGGTAAGTCAAAGTGGGCTGCATTTACGCAGGGGCCGTGAAAAGTGTGTAGTAGTCTTCATGGTCCTGAGGCCACTTCTGCACTGTGACAGCTGTTTGACACAACCTAGCACACATATCCTCCCCTCCCTCTTTCATTGTTGATGCTATCATACAACAAAAGGGATTGTTCGTCAGAGTGGAGTACCGCCAGGTTAGGCCTTCCATAAAAATTGTCATAAATTGTTTGGGCCCATTACTAACCAATTTTTCATTAACTTTTGTTGTTGTGGCTGTGGAGTAAAGTATTCGTAATGCAAAATACACAAAACACAGAAGAGAATGTAAATTATTAGAAAGCAAAAAGCCAGACCAACAATCTGAATAGTGTCATCTCAGATGGCCTCTTCCTGATCATTGTTTCTTCCCACTCCCTCAGAGTGAACGCTTCCAAGAATTTATTAACAACCTTGCTTTTTTTTTTTTTAAATGCTTCTAAAAAATTTGGGGTCTTGCTAATGTTTGGACTTGATACAGATATAAAATGGGAGTCAGTCTCGTGTATTTCTTTGTATCTGGCTTTTTTCAGTCAAATAATTTTAAGGTATATCCATGTCCATATTCCATATAGGTATAGTTTGCTCATTTTTGTTTAGTATTCCTTTTGTCAGTGGAAAATATAGACTTAAGTTTTTGATGGACATTTGTATATCACAGCGGTTGCCTAATACATCTTGCATATCATATATTTACATTAAGATTAATAACAGTAGCAAAATTTTAGCCATGAAGAAGCAACAAAAGGAAATTTATGGTTGGGAGTCACCCCGATATGAGGGAACTGTATTAAACGGTCACAGCTTAGGAAGGTTGAGAACCACTGCTGTATCACATCCTACCAAGGAATTGTGGAGTCATTACTTTAGGTGTACATGAATTCTACTAAAGAAGGCCACACTAGATGATTTTCTAAATAATTTCTCACAGTGAATATAACAATTTCTACTCATCCACCCTGTTTTAGAATTTCCATTGTGTTTCCTCTTAACCAGCTTTTTTTTTTTTGATACGTAAATGACTTTGGCTTTATTTTTACTGTGATAATGATACACATAGCAAAACATTTTCCATTTCAACTTTTTTTTTTTTAAACATTTTGTTAGGGGCTCATACAACTGTTATCGCAATCCATACACACATCAATTGTGTAAAGCGCATTTGTACATCGTTTCTCAAAACATTTTCTCTCCACTTAAACCCCCGACATTAGGTCCTCATTTTTCCCCTCCCTCCCCGCTCCCCCCTCCCTCATGAGCCCTTGATAGTTTGTAAATGGGTATTTTGTCATATCTTGCCCTGTCTGACGTCTCCCTTCACCCACTTTTCGGTTGTCTGTCCCCCAGGGAGAAGGTCACACACAGTTCCATGTAATTGTTAACCAGCTTTTTGATATTGTTTTCAGATTATAAAGCCTTTCCCGTTCAGGTGGATATAGAGCTCAATGCCATTCCATTTTGCATTTCCTTGTTTGTTAATTTGCTTGGGTGACTGTGTTGTGTATTTATTATTGTTTATATTTTTCCATTTATGAAATGCCCATTTTTCTCTGCATTCTCTTACAGATTTATACGAGTTCTTTGTATTTTTAGGGTACTAGGGTATCAGTTGACTTTATCCATTTTTTGTTTTGTGGTTCTGGCTTTTGTGTCTAGTGTAAGAAACGTTTTCCGACTCTAAGGTCATGAAGGTCTTGCGTACAGCTGTCCGCTTTTCCAGTACATGCTGCTGTTTCTCTCCCTGTAGAACCAATATGAGAAACATAAAGAAGTAGAAGCGGCTCAGGGGGTAAAGATTCTTGGGAAAGACCTTGAGAAAGCACTAGCTGGCTTACCTCTCCTGGTGGCTCATAAAGAAGATGAAATCGCAGTTCTTAAAGTAAGTCACTAATTAATCTTTTTCTTTCAAAAATTATTTGACTTGTGCTGATTATCAGCGGTGTACGCATGAGTAATGACAGGTAACGGGTTGTCTGATTGCCTTTCAGCAAGCAGTTGATGCTTCTCAATTATTTGCTTACTGTAATCACAATAATGGCTTTCCTGCCATGAAACTGATTCTGGCTCCTAGCGACCTTCTAGGACAGAGCAGAGGTCTAAACTGTTGTCAAAGTTCTAAATCTGTAAGAAAGCGGGGACTGCCTTATCTTCCTCCTGAAGAGCGGTTGAGGTTCAAACTGCTGCTTAATCCACTGCTCCCCAAAGGCTTCTTTCTTATCATTAGCTTCTCAGTCCATTCCGACGTATAGCAACCCCATGGGACAGTACAACTGCTCGTGTATCCCAGGCCGCACCTCTCTGGGAGCAGGAAGCCTCATCTTTCTCTCTTAGCTCCTCAACACTGAGCCTGCTCTACCACCAGTGCTCCTTAAACTTGGCACACCTATTTATCATCTGAACTTAGTATTCCTAGAATTTAAAAATTTTTACTTTATTCAAATGAAACAAAAGCTAGACATTATTCACGTTTTATTTTACATACAGTAAGAAGTAGACAGGATGAAAGAAAATCTCCTGTTTATGGTCATTCGGCCTACGTGAATCCAGGGAAGTGTCATCCAGCAAACGTTGGCTCATCACGAGCTTTTCAACTGGTAATAGCAAGAGGGCTTTCCCAATGTTCCGGGACCATAGTTACCTGTTTGTCTTAAATAATATTTTATTGTGTTTTTTAGTGAAAGTGTACACAGCAATTCAGGCTATCATTTAACAATTGCTACACAAATTGTTCAGTGACATTGATTATATTTTTCACAAAGTAATAAATTGTACTCATTATTTCTGTTCTGGTTTGTCAGTTTTTTATTAATGTAGTTTCCATGTCCGCTTACTGTCTCATGTTAGCCCTGGAGAAGCGGTTCTCAACCTGTGAGTGGCGCCCCTTTGGGGGTTGAACGACCCTTTCACAGGGGTTGCCCGATTCATCACAGTAGCAAAATTATGAAATAGCAGTGAAAAAAATTTTATGGTTGAGGGTCACCACAACATGAGGAAGTGTATTAAAGGGTCGCGGCATTAGGAAGGTTGAGAATCACTGCCATAGAGCATTTGTTGACCATATGATGACTTTGTTCAGTAGCACATATTCACTAATGGTACTCATTATTTTGTGAGCCTCTAGTTAGCTAATAGGTAACCTCAGGATAGTCTCAGTTCAAAATTCAGAGGTCACCTCATGCAGTAAGGAGACCTATATATAGTCTCAACCAGTCCCATGAGTCTGGACTTCTTAACCATTTGAATTCTATTCCATGTTTTTCTTCTGTTCTGAGTGCCATCTGTTATGACCCTGATCAGAATGGTCGTGTTAATAGTGGGGCATAGCCTAGTTCTTCTCAACCCAACGTAGTTGTAGGCTATTATTGAACTTTTGGTTTCCTTCTTGCCGTTTGCCTTTGGATAATTAGAGACCAATAGGTGGCCTCTTGAAAGCTTTTACGGCCCCAAATAGGACTCACCAAAGTAGAATGTAGAACACAAGCAGTGTAAAATTACTTATTATTTTTTTAATCATTGTATTGGGGTCTCGTTGAACTCTTATCACAATCCATGCACACATCCATTGTGTCAAGCACATTTGTACATTGTTGCCATCATCATTCTCAAAACATTTGCTTTCTGCTTGAGCCCTTGGCATCCCCCTCCCTCCTCGCTCCCCCTTGTCATTATTTTGTCATATCTTACACTGTCCAACATCTCCCTTCACCCACTTTTCTGTTGTCCATTCCCCAGGGAGGTGGTTATATGTCGATCCTTGTAATCGGTCCCCCCTTTTCCACACCACCCACCCTCCTGGTATCGCCAGTCTCAGCACTGGTCCTGAAGGGATCATCTGTCCTGGATTCCCTGTGTTTACATTTCCTATCTGTACAAATGTATATCCTCTGGTCTAGCCAGATTGGTAAGGTAGAATTGGGATCATGATAGTGGGGTGAGGAGGAAGCATTTAGGAAGTAGAGGAAAGTTGTATGTTTCATGTACCCTGACGGGCTTGTCTCCTCTCCTCTTCTGTAAGGGTATGTCCAGTTATCTACAGATAGGTCTTGGGTCCCCAATCTGCCCTCCCTCTCATTCACAATGAGTTCAGTTTTTGTTATTTGATACCTGATACCTGATCCCTTCGACTCCTCGTGATCACACAGGCTGGTGTGCTTCTTCTATGTGGGCTTTGTTGCTTCTGAGCTAGATGGCCGCTTGTTTACCTTCAAGCCTTTAAGACCCCAGATGTTATATCTTTTGATAACCGGGCATCATCAGCTTTCTTCACCACATTTGCTTAGGCACCCATTTGTCTTCAGCAATCGTATAGGGAAGGTGAGCACACAATGATACGATTTTTTGGTCTTTGATGCCTGATCCCTTCCGCACCTCATGATCACACAGACTGCTGTGCTTCTTCCATGTGGGCTTTGTTACTTCTGAGCTGGATGGCCACTTGTTTACCTTCAAGTCTTTAAGACCCTAGACGTTATATCTTTTGATAGCTGGGCTCCATCAGCTTTGTTCAGCACATTTGCTTATGCACCCGCTTTGTCTTCAGCAATTGTGTTGGGAAGGTGAGCATCATGGAATGCCATTTTAATAGAACAAAGTATTCTTGCATTGAGGGAGTACTTGAGTGGAGGCCCAATGTTCATCTGTTACCTTAATACTAAACCTATACATATATGCTGTAAAATTATTTTACAACACGGCCAGCTTGTCCCACAAATAGATGGTCCCAAGTCATGTGACCCAGAGAACCTACCCTGTGAGGTGTTCCATTGTATAAAGTTGCCATGATCGTGCCCTACCACCACCATTACTTTGTAGGCAGCTTCAAGTCACTGCTATGAGAAGTCATTGCTTCAGCAGAGGTGCTGTGACTTAGCTAATGGTTAGCTTTGGCATGGATTCCCATGTCTGGAAGGGGCACCAGCATGCTTGTTTTACTTATTTCTTCCCCACCTGATCTGAGATGAGAGTATTCTGGGGGCAAAATAGTCTCTACCAGGTTCCTGGGAACTGCTCTCATTCATGTGGTACTTTACTTTGTAAGAGAGGATTCCTAACTGTCCTTTCACCTTTTCCTCCACCACATCCACCAGAGTTGCCAAGGTGCAGAGAATAAGCATTTAAATGAATAAGCTTGAGAGACAGAAGTGGGATCCAGCTGGCATCTGGCCCCCAAATGATCTCCTTTATTTTACTGAAGTTTCTATTGTGTTGCTCTCTCTAAGCCTATTTTCACATTTCTAGGGATAAATACTAATCTAAAAGTGTTTTAATTTTTAATGTGTTAAATATAAAGATGTAATATAAATTTACATGCTTGTCGCATTCATTTTTCTTCAAGGACGAGTTGATCCATGAGTTAAAGCAGACACTAAATGCCATTAAATTAGAAGAAAAGGGAGTCTACGTGCAGGCGTCTACTCTGGGCTCCTTGGAAGCTCTACTTGAATTTCTGAAGTCATCAGAAGTACCTGTGAGTAATTGGGCAGACTTTGCCGAGGTGCGGTGGTAGTGGGTTTTATGGTGTTCTGATACATACAAGTTAACTCCGAAACCCCCTTTTTTGTGTGCAGTATGCAGGAATTAACATTGGCCCAGTCCATAAAAAAGATGTGATGAAAGCTTCAGTGATGTTGGAACATGATCCTCAGTAAGAAATTTCCCTTATTCCACAAAATTTTAATATCGGTTACCTGTGTTCTTAGAATTATCCTTTACAGCCTATTTTGCCTTTCATTTGTTTTAACCTCTTAGGTATGCAGTCATTTTGGCCTTTGATGTGAGAATTGAACGGGATGCGCAAGAAATGGCTGATAGTTTAGGAGTTAGAATTTTCAGTGCAGAAATTATTTATCATTTGTTTGATGCCTTTACAAAATACAGACAAGACTACAAGAAGCAGAAACAAGAAGAATTTAAGTAAGTTTATGGTTTTCCATACGTTGGCTCTTTGGTAATTACATTTATTGAGATGGCCCACATACACATACCAGGAAGATGTTGACTACAGCAACATGACTGCGCAGAGGCTGCACCCTGAGGTGGTAGCTTGTGAAGGACAAATCCTGTACACCTGGGCCGCTCAGGCAGCTGTAGCCATTTGGTTGGTTCTTTAATTTTCAGTTTGGCAGACCTAGGTATCACTAGTGGATGATTAGTAGCTAAGTGTGGGAGCTTTAGTGAGAGTTTATCTGGGACTGAATAGAATGAAAGTTACAATGAGAATGTGGGAAATTAGGAATTGTGGCTAAGGTATCCCCGTCTTAAGAGCTCAGGGGCTATGAGGGAAGTAACCAACACAAACTAGTGAGAAGGTAGGTTATTAGTGCTCAAAACTTGAGGGGCCAGGGTGATTAAGTAAGGGAATAGGGCTGCTATTAGGAGGGTGGCTGGAGAACATATTTAGATCACTCATTTGAGTCAAAGTAGAGGAAATAGAGTGAGCCACACAATACATGGGGAAGAGCTGGGTAGAACAGGCAGAGTTCAAATGTAGGAGGCTTCTACACTGGTCGCTGCAGAATGACCCAGGGGAGAATGGTCAGAGGAGCTAGCAAAGATCACGTTAGGGAGGACCCTGGAGGGTGTGGCTAGGGCTGGTTTACTCGTGCTTTGAAAAGTGTGTGTGGACGTGATCAGATTGGTGTTGCCACGGAGCATTGTTAGGGGATCAATGACAGGAGACTGTTGCTAGTGCCATTGAGTCAGTTCTGACCCATAGTGACCCTATGCATGACGGAACAAAGCACTGCCTGGTCCTGTGCCGTTCTGGAAATGGTTCCTATTTGGGAGCCCTTTGTTGCAGCTAGTGTCAGTCTGGGTCATGGAGGGCCTCATAATCTGAGTGAGCGCGCGCGAGGTAGTGCTGATGACAGGGACAGATGGAGCAGTTTGTGGTATTTTTAAAGTAAAACTGATACCTGGTAAATACTAAGATTTCATGGAGCCCTAGTGGCTTAATTGGTATGTTGTTGGGCTGCTAACTGCAAGCTCAGCAGTTTAAAAACAACCACCTGCTCCTTGTGAGAAATGACAGGGCTTTCTACTTCCATTGAGTTAGTCTCGGGAAATTTACAGAGGCAGTTATGCCCTGTCCTGTCGGGTCACTGAGTCAACGGCATGAGTTGAGCTGACAAGGATTTCAATCAGGTTATGCTCACTCAAGATCTTGAAACGTGATGTGAAAAGGGTTAGATTGGATTTAGAAGATGGCTAGAAACTCTGATAGCATATTCTTGATAGGCAAGAGAATGGACTTGACCTTTGCACTGTCACTTTGAACCAACCCCATTGACTGCAGTGACCTTTGAAAATTTTGAGAAGGACAGTCCTGTAGGGTGTAGCTTAGGGAAGAAAGTGAAGACGGGGGAGCAACAGAATGGAGAGAGGGAAGGGGAAAGACTGAAGAGCCACTGGTAGTCACCTGCAGCTTCTCAGCCTTCTCCTCCCAAGACCTGAGACGAGGTCTAAGGGGAGAAGACTCACATTTATCTGTATTTTTCAATACAAAGATGGTGGAGTGGAATTGTAAACATGAACTTCTTTTTCACTTTTAAGGCACATAGCAGTATTTCCCTGCAAGATGAAAATCCTCCCTCAGTTCATTTTCAATTCTCGAGATCCAATAGTGATGGGAGTGACTGTGGAAGCAGGGCAGGTGAAACAGGGCACACCCATGTGTGTCCCTAGCAAAAATGTAAGTCTGTTAGTTTCTGTTCCTTTCTGCACCTCCCCCAACCACAGGCTGGCTGTCCTCGCAGGCTGCTTTCTGGGGGTTGGCCATTGCCTGACCAGTCTGTTTTCAGCAAGCCTTAATGTGATTCTGGTGCCTTGTCAAAATTGAGAAGCACTGCTGAAAGTCTTGAAGAGTGGTTTGTGCTTTACCTCCACCTCACGTACATCTCTCAATAGCACCTTGACATAACTACTGTCAGGGTACATGTCACAGAAGAGGTTAGTTTCTCAGAGGGTAACCAGCTTACTTGGTCACTTTGCCAGAAACCAAGGCCTGGGTGGCATTGGCAGTTAACACAGGTGTCGGCACTTGGATCCTTTCTACTGCTGTACTGCAAGTGGCCCTGGGTGATGAATTTCCCGAGTTCTTAACTGATTGTTGTTGACACTAGTTGATGACAACTATAATTTAAACCGAATGTTGCTAAATAGCTGTTTTCTGGATCAGTGCTGATCCTCACCACCTGATGTCATTGCTTTAAATGAAGTGTGGAAGGTGATTTGAATAATTACCATTCTTAGTTTTATCTTGAAGTTTCAAGACCCAGTAAACGTTGACATAGTATTGTTGGACAGACCCGTGTGTCTCCCCTCTGGATCAGCATCAAACCTAAGCTAAATGGACTCAAAGTTAATACCCTCTAATATCCTACCATCCTCATTCCCATTACATCAGCTGTCTCAGCCATGTCTTTAATGACTCCATCTACCCAGCCGAATCTAGGATTTCTTCACCATGCGTTGCATTTGGTTATGCTTCACACTCAGAGAACCCACCCCTCCTCCTCTTCTGAAGTTCAGTTGTTTGGCAGGTTGTCACTCCATGTAGATTTGTCCATTTGCTCATGACAGGGTGCAGGTTTACTGGCACTCCTGGGGGCCGCCTCTTGCATCACACGAGTCGTCTCACTTGGCGATGATACAGTTGCTCACTTGGGGCAGTGAGTGCGATCTGCTGTATTTCTACTATAGCGATCATCTCCCCCTTTTATTTACTCCTTTTATCCAGGGGTATGCTCCGAGTTCTCATGAACATTTTACTCAGAAGTTTTAGTATCCACTGGTAGCCTTTGTCCAGCTACGCAGATGGTTGCAGAATGGTGATTGTGCACCCCCCCCACCCCACCCCCAATAATCACCTTGTAGGCTTTTTTGTTTTAATTCAGTATTACCATAACCCATTACCAGGATTCTTTTTGATATAAAACAACCCGTAGTGGGAATCTGTTCATGTTGTCCCATGAATGTTATATTCTTTCCTGGTGTAATAAATACAATGCTCCACGCTCATCCAGAATGTCTGGTGCCTATAGATAACCGGTTGCTTTAGTAGATGTGACCCAGATACTGCATATACTTGTGTATAAGCCGAGTTTTTAAGCACATTTTTAATCAGGCTTTGTGGTAAAATTCAGTACCTCGGCTGATATTGGGGTCGGCTTATACTTGAGTGTATATATGGTACATCACCTGAACATGGAGCCATCCTTTCTATGTGATTTCAATAGAATGAGCAAAGCCATTTGCAGTAATTCTACTGAGTGGCTTTGGCCTCCTGTCACTGCTTTCAAAACGCAACTCTACGCCCCAAACTGCAGGGTTTCTACCATGGCTTACCAAGGCCTTATGTGATCTGTTCCTGCTGCCTCTAGATTTCTTCTGTTAACCACTACACTTCATCCTCACAGAGCAGTCATCCACTCCTCACGCAGAGCCTACTGGTCCCTTAAAAAAAATGCTGTGTTTCAAGTGCTCTCATTTTGGTGACGGGGGCGGGTGCAGCTGTGATGATGATACCCCCAATCTGTCATTGAGTATGTTACTTATTGTGTAGGTCTAAAGTGATCAACCCAGTCCCACAGAGCCAAGCTTAACTAAATGGCTCCAGCTGTCCAGGCATAGTGCTGGTGAATGGCATGGTTCGTTCCATACATTGTCGTTCTTATTTTATAGTTTGTTGATATTGGAATAATAACAAGTATTGAAATAAACCATAAACAAGTGGATGTTGCGAAAAAGGGACAGGAAGTCTGTGTCAAAATAGAACCCATTCCTGGCGAATCTCCCAAAATGTATGGAAGACATTTTGAAGCTACAGACATCCTTGTCAGTAAGGTGAGTATTCAGCACAAGTTGCCCTTGAACGAGTCAGTCTCATGCTTTCCTCAGTTCTCAGAGCTGTAGTTTGCACATGGAGAGCATGGTGGAGCTAGCTCCTTGTTCGGACTTGGCTGTGGAATAGCCTTGTCTACAAAAGGTTACCTGTAAGTCGTGCAGCACTAACAATGTAGGCGGGCTTCCAGGTCCCCTCTCCCTGACAACCCAAGGCGACCAACTTGGGTGACAGTGAGCCCACTTTCTTGTTTTTTCAAATGCATTTTTTATTGTGAATTAGATGTGGACCATATGTGCTGGCGGGGGCAGAGGGGGCTTTGACTGATTTTATTCACCCTGTCTGTGCCTCGGACATTGCAGATCAGCCGGCAGTCCATCGATGCGCTCAAAGACTGGTTCAGAGATGAAATGCAGAAGAGTGACTGGCAGCTTATTATGGAGCTGAAGAAAGTATTTGAAATCATCTAATTTTTCCACATGGGGCAGGAAATGGAGTCAATGCAATACTGTTGTAGTATCACCAACAAAAAAACAACACGGACTATTTGAACGCCGATGGACTTAAAGAATATGGAAGGAAAAAAACAGGTGTATAAAAATGTTTTCCATGAGAAACCAAGAAACTTACACTGGTTTGACAGTGGTCAATTACATGTCCCCACAGTTCCGATGTGCCTGTTTACCCACTCCTTTCCCTCCCCCTCTACTGGCTGCTGTTTTAAACTTTGCCCTTCCCCAAATTTGAATTTTTATTACAGATCAAAACTTTCAATTTTATACTGATTAAATCAGTACTGCAGTATTTGATTATACCGAGCTTTTGCAGAGTTTGTGATTCCTGGACTTTTTTTTTTTGATGTAAGAAATACTTTATTTATGCATATTCTTCCCAGTGATTGACACCCCTCCCCCCCACCCAACATTCTGCCATATGCCCTTACAGAAATTTTTATTTTGTTTTCCCCCATAGAAAAGTAGGAATTCTGGTATTTCTTTATCTGCTGTGTGTAAAAATATAATAGTTACAATTCAGAACTACCAGTAAAGGAAACAGACACCAGTGAAGCTCTGTAAGGCTTCCATGTTAGTTTAGCTCTCCCAGCAGTCCAGCGCTATCTTCTAGGGCCATGGACTGTTTTAACTGTCATACGTTGTGTCAGTTAACATTCAGACTTTTTATACTACGGAATTCTATTATGCAGAATGACTTGGCAATAATATAGGGAATTATTAAACTGTATTTGGGCTTTCTGCTTGTTTTGTAAGCCACAGATACAACATAATGACTTTTTCATAGTAGTGATCTGGTTGTACAGCTTGTTTATGGTTTTCCTGAAGAATGTGCGGGGGGAGGGGGGGGCATATATATAACATTCCCCAACTTAACTAATTTAATGCCTACGTAAAAAAGCACACATTGTTGAAGTCACTTGTAAGGTGTTTGGAGAAACAACATGCAAGTATTCATGGGCAAAGAATTATAAGCTATATTTTTACAGTGTTACGGTAGAATAGCATAAATATTTTATATACATTTGAAAATCTGTACTACTATTGAAATTTCTCAAGTCAAAGTAATGAGCTCTAACCTACCTATTTCTAAGGGAAAGTCAGATGTGTGTTCGGTGTCCTTAAGTAAGTTTCTCCACACACTTGAATGGTGAAGATATCTTAAGAATTGGAATGTTGGTCATCAAAGTTGAGCCACAATGGCTGTTAACAATCTGACCTAAAAGCTTTCAAAAAGCCCTTAAAAAGTATAATAAAAAATAGCTGAGCATTTTCTTTCTAGAGTTTTCTTAAGGATTCACAAAAAGGAGCCTATACAAAATATACATACAGTTCTTTATTAAACAACTGTAAACACTTCACTGTAAAAATCCATAAAACTTTATAAACAAACCTTTTGTAAATAGAATCTATGCTACAGTAAAAGAATTAACACAATTATTTACATGCAATACTGACAAATTTGGCACTTCTTGAAAAGAAATGTACAAAACACTTGCTTAAAAAGAAAATGAAAATTAGAAAAAACTCAGAGCATTACTATCATGCACTTCGCAAATACCTCACAAGCACTTATGGCACAGCTAGCGAGAGCCCCAGGGATCTTTACGTAACCTTTAATGTGCTTCCGTAAGTTTGTTGTAAAACCACTTGAACATTGTCTAGAATAAAATCAAATGCCATATTCCAAACTGATTCCACCGACTGCTGCATCAACCTGAAGGTGGGGGAAGGAGAAGCATCATTACGAAACATTCCTTCCTTGCTGCAAGGTTTAATAACTTCATTTTTAATTTACAGCATAAAAATCAATCTTAGCACACAAAAAGGCCTTTGCTGTGGTTTTAATCATGTATTTAAAGTTCAAGGAGAATAAGCACCTTTTGTCTACAATTCAAAATAGCAGGCATGCCTTTATTAACTACAGGTGTCAGTTACTGTGACTGATTTGCATTGCCTGAAAGTTTTTAAAACTTGCTCAGTGTCCTCAACCCCTTCAACTAGCCCCGGTGACTCCACCTCCCCACCGTAAAAAACTAATTTTTAGAGTACCTCTTCATGTATTTTATAACGAGATCCAATTTTTCCAAGTCTTTTTCCTCAATCAGATCAGTACAATATTTCACAACTTGCAGAATGTCTTCTTCCATTGGATCTAGGGAAGAAATGCCAAGTGAGAACCAATATCTCTCTAAAGAGAAAGAGAGAGGGCTGCAGGCACAAAGGAGACCTGCTTTTCTGCAGCCAGACTGCGGGCTATAAAGAACTTTTTCAAAGGCAGATTTAAAAAGGTTAGGAGGTGCCCGGTTTAAGCTTATTAGCCATTGGAAAATGAGAATATGAACAGATTAAACTAGACTTAACTCAAGTAACGTGGATACCACCTAACAAAGTAAACAACCTGAAATAGTAGTTATCCATTCTTTGAGCAAGGTCTTCACATCATTAAATTCCACAGCTCCAGCTAGATTAGGTGCCAGGGGCCTAGCACAGCTGGGTAGGTTCACCTGCAGATCAGGATAGCCTGTCACGCTGGAAGTGGAAGCAGGCAGTTCTCCCTGGTTAAAAAAAACAAAAACATGTCACAGTGTACAGCAGTTAGACAATATCTAGTACCTCTAGAACCCATCCCAGTAGAGGTTTCTTTTAAATAGTACCAGGGGCTTGTCAAGCGCAGGACCTTCTTGTTTCAGGAAGCCATCAATTAACTTCTGGGGACTCCTGCAGGGCCCTGGCAGGGATTTTGCAGGACTGCTCAGCAGCTTGTTTTTCAAAGGGCTCTGAACCTTTTTCTTCGGGCTGGTGGGAGTCTTCTTTCTGCTTTTTTTCTTATCTCTCACTGCTGCTGGTTTTAACTGAAGCCAAGGGTTCTTTGGCACTAAAAGACGGATAAGATCCTCAACAAATGCCGCAGAGTACAAGGGCTCCCTTTGTGGGGCATAACAACACTTAGCCACATTTTGTTCACTGCAGATACCACCCTCCCTGTGTGAACACAGCTCCTAAGGCCATTGTAATATCCCAGTTATGACATGTAGGCCTTCAGTAGTCTCACCCTCCCCCGAGGCTTACCAGACAAGCTGGCTGCCTGCTGCAGGGCTGTACTCTCAGCCTGCCTGTGCCTTTGATCATAGGCTGCTCTCAGCTCCTTCTGAAGCTCAACAGGAAGGGCAGCAAACACCTCAGGATCCACCTAGAAGAAAAGTGACAGTTTAGAGTGGAACCTGATGTATTCCTTATGGCAACTAGTTAAGATTTTTCACAAAACAGATTTTGTTTTCAAAACAGTTTTTTTTTTCTGGCCTGCACAAATTCTTAATTGGTTTTTAACAGCAAAGCTCATCAAATCCTCCAACTGTGTAGGGTGAGAAAAAGGAATAAAATTTAAGGACTAAACTAGAGAACATGGAGCAAACATTAGGCGCCTATGGCATGTTGTTAAGCTCACTCAGCCTGAGGTACTGTCCCGGTGCATGACCCAGCAGGGAAGGCTCACAGTCAGCAGGCACAACTGATTCCAGGCAGAAACTATAAGCCCCTCTCCCCGCTGACATCACACTTGGTTGTACTTCAGACAAGTGCTGCTCCTGTCATGCAGATGACTGAGACAAGGTGTCTGCTACTGAGAGTTCAAGGTACACCAAAAAGGGCTGAGCTGCAGCAGTTCGAATGTGCAAACTGCAGATGGTTCCTAAATGGTGATTACCTGTGAAAATGCTGGAAGTGCAATTACATTAATTCCCGTGTCGCCGTTGGATTCCTGAGGTTCTGGTATTTGCAACAAAACTGTCCCAACTGGTTGTGGTAATATTCCTGTATTACAGCCATTTGCGGGTTCTTTCTTTCTGTCCCCAGGTAGCTCTCCTTGCTGCACAGCACACACTTGTTCTACTTGTTCCCGGAGATCTGGTGGAAGTGCCTCTAACACTGACTGATCGAGCTATAAGACAGCAAGCATGCAAGTTTGAAGAACAGCGTTCCAGAAATGGCGTGCTTGCAGTTAGCACAGCACTGCAACTCCAGTGCGAACGTTCTGCATAGGGAACATTAAATTCAGAAAGCTCCTCTAGCCTTTCGTCATTTAAGCACAAGGTAAAATGTGGAGTCTAGCAATTCCAGCTCCCCACTGCTGGCCAGCACCATATGCCCAATAACTCCCCCAATACAGAATGACCATGTCAGAGGAGCACAAAGAGCTAGTTAATAAATTCAGATCTACCTTGCCTTGCTGATGGGCTGGGACTATGTACCCAAAGCCTTTGCTAAATTCCTGGGACACGGTAACAAGTTCCTGGGGTCAATTTACCTTTTTCTCAGAATGGAGGTTGCTCAGAACAAGAAATAACACCTGAGTCTTGGAGAGCAGCAAGCTAAACCTGCAGGTTCACTTGCCTTTGGCCTGCAGACCAGAATCCCCTGCTCCTTTGGCCAGGTGCTTCCCTTGCCCATCAGTGCCCACCCAGTCCTTTGGAAACTCATAATACCTGTAAATTAAGTAAGCTAATCTCAGCAGGAAGCAAGTATTTCATGTTTGAGCATAAATGGAGCTAATGCAAGCATTTCTGAATTGCATCCTCCCTAGATTGCTAGCCAGCCTCTACATCTACTATGGACTCCTTCCACAAAGGAGAGGTGGCCACAAGGACTTAATTACAGCTTTAGGCTTCCAAGGAGCATACAAAGTCAGTAACAGAATGCCTCATTGACAGTCCAAACAAAATCATTCACTCTTGTCACTAGACACACAAAGAGAATGGTCAGCAACTGCAAACCCCTTTGACAAAGGTCCTACTTTCTTCACTCACTGCCAGCCAGTCGATTCCAGCTCACAGCAACTCTACAGGAGAAAGTAGAACACTGAGTTAGTTTCTGAGACTAACTCAGAGTAGAAACCCTCATCTTTATCCTGTAGAGCAGCTGGTGGTTTTGAACTGCTGACCTCAAATGTTAGTAGCCTAATAACGAGTAACCACTACGCTACCAAAGCCTCCTTTCTTTATGACCACTAAAGTTTCTTTGCTGAGGTGAAGAAGCACATGAGTAGAATTACAAACACTGGATGCTGGCACTGCCTTTCACTATTTTACAATTTCCAAGAGTTGTACATCTTTGTAAAACGTCCTCGAGTGCCTACAAGTTTGAGAGATTCACCATTACCCACCCTAGTAGATAGCACTCTTTCTTGGACACACTGATTAATACGTTTAAAATGTCCATCCTTTTATGAAGCTGCTTTTGTACTGACGATATTTAGAATTAGAGTGACATACCTGAGAAGGTGATGGAACCTCTATACTTAGGTTAAGTCTTGATTTCACACTGATAGGAGGATGTAGACCATTCCATTTCACTGAAGACTCTGCTTTGCTGGGAACAGGATTGAGAGCGGAAGTCAGATGTGTGGGGACGGAGGGCAGCAAAGTGCATGTTCTAGAAGTAGATGAGATCTCAAGATCCATGGCAGCTAGGAAGACTGCAATCAAAATGGGAAATGATTAAAACCTCAGACCATCTGGGGATATTTTGTTTTTGTTAAGTTGGACCAGCTTCCATCGGCCATTGCAGGTATTTCTTTAGTAGACACAATGAAAAAGATCAAAGTTTTATTAAGGACTTAATTAAGAACATAATTGGTTTCTTTAAAGAAATCACATCCAGCCACGCCAGATAGGTGGGACATACGGCCGTCCTAAAGATGTACACACTGCCCAACAAGCCCCCCAGACAGAAGGACCACCAACCTTCCTTGTGCTCCTCCTCTGTGGATTTCTTAGCTTTCTGAACTTGTAAGAGATCGATGACAGAGTGGGACCCGCCAGAAGAGTGCTCTGATTGTACCAATGGGTGACTGGGACATGTGGGATGGGTCTGATGAGTCGGAACCAACTGATTCATTTGAATTCCAACCTACAACAGAATGAAAAATGCTTATTTCTGGGAAGGATCAAGTGAAAATGGATTCAACTAAGCAAAGTCTCGGCTTATCTTTTAGACTATATTCTACATCACAGGTTCAGAAACTTACTTGGCTTATTGTATTCCCTTTTCAGGAAAAACAAAACAAAACCTACTCAAAGAGTTGCCCTCCCTGGCAATTTAAAAATGTTTGTGCTATGGCCCATAATCCAGGATAAGTGTCGTTATCTGTTCTGCAGCCCTCTGGATTATTCCAGGGCCGTATATCAGATCCAGTGGGCAGTCTCACCCAATTTGGAAAACACTTACCTAGATGTTGTTTTCAGGATAGACAAAAGAAGGGCTCAAACAAGAAATCGCTTTCATACATAATTCACATGGTTTCTAGATTATCTGGGTAACTATTCATCCCAATCTCACATCACCCAACTCTACCTAAATAGACTATAATCACCTTAAAATTAGGGACAATGGACTGGATAATCTACCATTTTTAAGGCATCTGTACATATCACCACTACCCACCCCATAAACCCATCACACGAGTACCTCAAAGGATGTTTTACTTAATCATGCACGGCATAATTTTTTAATGCTTCACAAAACCCACACTAGGCCAAACGATGCCCTTTGCCCATGTATGTACACATACGGCAAAACTTACAAAGATTAATCTATCACTAAGAAAAGGAATTTGAGGGGTTTGCAATTTTCCTTCCTCTGGCCTATCTGTTGGAAACGTATCTTCATGTGCCTCTGAGCACTCTCCCTTCTAGATCAGACCGCAACCTCAAAACATTTCTAATTAGAAAGGACCTTAAAGCCGTTAGCAATTATTCGCAGATTCACATTCCTTATAATCCCATCTGTACTTCTAGAGGAAAGAACAGGAGAAATACGATGTAGATTACTTTTGTAAAGAAAAGTTGGCATAAAGATTCAATATATAATTATTATTCTATGTTGAAAACAAAAATATGCCTACCTGACTCTAAAAATTAAGACATCAGGTCAAATAGTCAGAAATTATTCCTCTTTCTGTTCTAGGATTGTATCAGAGGAGGGAGCGACTTTCACCTAAGCCCCCACCTGCCTGCCTTGACCATTCTCAGATCATGCACCACTGAGAAAAACATTACAGAGAGCCAGAATTGAAAGCTTTTAAGTACTCACCCCTCTCATATCCGATATATTTAGTTTCATTGTATGAAACATGTTCAGTGTAGCCTTTCCAATGATCTTTGCACTATCTGTTGCCTGGTCAAGAGTGACAGTCCTGTAAATGATAGAATGCTTTTAAAGGAACGGTTTACTCCTTGTGTACTCATCTAAAAGCCCAATCCCACAGCCCCAAGTTGATTCCGACTCAGGACACAGAACTGCCCCAGTCCAGGGCTGTAATCTTTATACTTCACATTTGTTTCTACTTTACATAAAGGCTTTTTGAATTCATCCAGGAAATGTACCCTGCTTCTCTTCTATGAGAAAGCCATTTGCAAAAAAAAAAGTAATTCAAAATATTTACTTCAGGTAATGTACAGAATAACTTAAAGCAAGATTTTTACTTCATCATGATTTTTTTCTTCCTAAATTGTAAGTTGTATTAATTTTGTTATCGAGCAGTTACACAGCAAAACATACACCAATTCAACCATTTCTATATGGACATCAGTTCAGTGACATGGATTCGATCCATGTTGCTGGGGGACCACTCTCACCCCTCCTGTTCAGAGCTCTTCCTCTCCCATGAATGTAAGCTTCCTGCCCCTAGTTAATGCTTCCCGGCTATGCCTGTGAGGGTAGTTGGGCACCACCCACTTCCTCTGGTCCAAGACAAAGAGGGCAGCAGGTGCTCAAGAAGGCATTCTACGTTCCTCCAGTTCCCGACTTTCCTTTGCTGCGCTGCTCTCCAGGTCAGTCAAATGGAGAAAGTCCGTTGCTCGACATGGTGATTTCTTTCCAAAACCCCACTAACTGACTACAAGTGATTTTAAAAGGCCTAAGCTCTTAAAAAGACAGAAGTGGGGGAAAAGACAGAGTGGAGGAAAACGTTCACCAAAATTGGGAATACTGAAGGCTTATCAGTACAGGGACGGAGCCCTAATGGTGTAGTGGTTACGAGTTGGGCTACGATCTGCAAGGCCTGCAGTTAGAAACCTCAGGAGAAAGACAGGGCTTTCTACTCCTTAAGAGTTAGTCTCAGAAACCCACAGGGGCAGTTCTACCCTGTCTTAAAGGGTTCACCATGAGTCTCAACCCAGTCGATGGCAGTAACTTAGCAGTACCTGATAAGTTATCAAAGTGCCTTCTAAATGCCTTAAGCAAGAAGCCAACTCTAGATAAACAATTTTTGCTACTAAACTCACTGCCATTGAGTCGATTCCAACTCCGATCAACCGTGCAGGACAGAACTACCCCTTTGGGTTTCCGAGGCTATAAACCTTTTCGGAAGCCTCACCTCTCCCCTACAGGGCCGCTGATGGCTTTTCACTACTGACTTTGTGGTTAGCAGCTCAATGCATGTAACCACACCACCAGGACTCCTGTAAATATGCTCATTAGAGAAGCTCAGAATCAGTGGTGTTGGGTATGTGCTATGAAGGAAAAGCTGAGGTGTGGGGCTGAAAATGTGCGAGAGGAGAAGATCCCTCCCATGCCAGACATCGCCTCTCTCTTCGCAGGAACCTGAGCTCTGTACAGATGTTGACACCGAGGGGCTAAGGCTACCAACGCACCAAGGAGGGAAGAAGGGCCTTGCTCAACAAGAGCCTAACCTTTTCCTACCCAGACCCCTGTATCAGTACCTTCCCACCTGCCCCTGGAGGAAGCCCACTCGGGAGTTGGGACACCAAGGACTGCTGCACACCTCCACTCATTCACCTTAAGTGTGAGGAGCCCACTGGTCTACACGCTCTGCTAGCACCATAGAGACTCCAAACAACACTGCTGCATGTTCCAGAGCAATAGCCAGCTAAGGACAACCAGAGAGATGCTTCTAGAAAGTCTCTTCTACAAGACTGCGGCCGTAACATGGGAAAAAAGAACTCTGAGAAACAAATGACGGCACTGGTGCTAGAAGAGGATTTAGGAGAGCAGGGACAATAGTGCATCTGTGCGCAAGGACCAAGAGATTCGACGCAGCCATCCCAGGAAGTGCTCCCCCACCATCCTAGTGCTCAACTTACAAATCTAACAGTGTCCAAGCGCCCTGCCCAAAGGCAAAGGCCAAAATGAAATTCTAAATGCGAATGTTCAGAGAGGAAAAACAGATCGCTGATGCACAGCTAATAATCATCGCCTCTATATTTAAAACTTTCCTCGGTTACCTGGTAGAGGTAGACATAGGAAAAACATTTTTACCTCTATACAATTTTTCCTAAGAAGATATTAGAAGACATGGTTCAATAATTGAGAATTAACTAAAGATGGGGGAATCCAACAGCGATGAGAGAAGGGCTATATCCCAGAACCTCAATTTTGCAGGAGGTCTTTAAAGAAACCAATTCAGATGGGGGTAAGCCCTAAGAGAAAAGTCTCCCAAGAAAAAACAACTGAAGTGATACAGATACATATAGAAGCTATCTGTCAATATACACGTATGTAATCTTTGTATATATATAAAAAAATACAGGTATGTCTACATGTGTGTTTTTTGTTCTGTTGTACACAAAGTCCCTACTTGAGTCGGAATCTCTTTGACAGCAGCCTAACAACTATACGTATAGTCTGTGGAGTTTCACACACACAAACCCACTGGAAGGAATTAGAAACACACAAATACACTGGTGGTAGTTTAGAAATAAACTCAGTGACAGATTCACAAAACAAACACACCAACTAAAATACTTGCTCGGGAATAGCAAATTCAAAAGGAACTGACTACAGTACAGTATACAGTTTGTAGATCTGCGATGGGTGGCCTCTCTGTGGTAAAATAATGGAACACCACAGGCAGTGATTCAAATAAAAACTGATGACCTCCTTAGGGAGAAGTGGAATGGGCACCTAGAGGAAGCAGCAATTAGGAATGGAAGGAAGAAGACCATAAATCCTCACCTGCAGCAGAAAGTTAGCAAATAATGGGCACAACAGGAATAAGCTAGCAGTTGCTCCTCAGGAGAAAGACGAGGCTTTCTGCTGCTTTTGTAGAGAGTTAGTCTCAGAAATCCACGGTGGCAGTTCTAGGGTTCGTATTTTTTTTTTTTGAGGGGGGCGCAGAGGATTGATAGCAAGAACACAAAGTACTGTGTGACCTTTTCAATGACATAGATCTATATAACATTGATAATAAATATACTTCAAATAAGAAACAATATAGGAACCTCAAAGGGATACAATCATCTTGGGGGGATCGGAGAGGGTGTCTTAGAGGAAACAACTATTGTTAAGAAAAATGTTCCTACGTGCTAAGGCCAGCGCTGGGTCCACACGGGGCTCAGAGACCTGACCCTGCACCCCAGCCTGTCTCTTCTGTGGCAGTGTCACACTGCATCTGAGGTTGAGAAACAGGGTTCGTGTGGACTACAAGATGATGAAACGCGGTGCTGCACTCAGCTTACTCAACCGCGCGACCTCACAGAAGCCCTTAATGTACTTCTGGGCTTCACAGTAAATATTTGGGGTTTTGAAGTCACTTTGACATATTCTTTAACAGTCTGTAATGAAAAACCTATTTGTTGTAGTTCACATGTCATAAAAGCAAGCCGCAGGCTGGATCTGGCCCATGGCAAGTAGTCTGCCAACCTAAGTGGTGGAAACAGAGGTCAACAGCTAGAAGCCCTGTGAAGCACAAAGGTTTGCAGTTTAAGCCCACCAGCTGCTTGGTGGGACAAAGACATGGCTTTCAGCTTCCACAGGGCCAAAAGCCTTGCACCCCCCCGGAGCAGCTCGCTCTGTCCTGTGGGACTGCTCAGAGACAGGTGAGACTTCTTTGCAGTGGACCAGGAGTTTCAGTTATCTAGCCATCACCATAGAGCTAAGCATCTGGTATGTAGATGTTAACGCTCAACAGTGTTAGGAGCTACTACAGTGATGCAACAACAACCCAGTACAGTGAGCACAGCTAATAATAATGTAAGTGTAAGGCTTAGGAGTTGACCTATGCCTTGGTCTCTGTGTGATGAGATCATACTTCTATTCACCACAGGCTCACTTTATAGTGATCACAGCTCAGGCCGCGGCAGTCATTTTAAGGCTGCAACATAATGCACAGAAGACTGCACAGCACAGCCCTGTGTGGACCAGAGGTTACACACAGACGCGGGAACGCTTATGGGCGAAACAACCTGAGGTTTGCTTCAAAGCAACTGGCCAGGGGTGGGGGGAGTGGTGGCGTCACAGGCTAGCTTGGAGAGTCTGCATGGTTGAAATAGCTGTAGTGTTGAAATGAGGATGACTGACAGGCACATGCCTTCGGGGTTTCATTACACTAACCTTCCTGGTTGGTAAATATTTAGGTTTTTCAGTGAACGTTTTTTCCCTTTTTCTTTTTAAATTTAGGACAAAACAATGCTATTACCAGCAAGTACATTTAAGAAAAAGCTGTGTGAGCAGCAATAGAGATGATAAAATATAATTAACCTCAATTTGTTTAATGCTATAATTAGATATTTGGATTCTTTGTATTCTCAAACAAACAAAAAACAAACACTCCTCATAGCGACCGTACCCTGTAGGTTTCCAAGACTAATTCTACAGGAGTAGAAAGCCTTCTCTTTCTCCTGAGGAGTAGCTGATGGTTTTGAACTGCTGTCCTTGCAAACTGCAGCCCAACACATAACCCAATATGCCACCAGGGCTTCCTGAGTAAGTCCTTAGTACTGCTGGATACACCGAAATGGGCAATGCTAGGTAAGTCTCAGATGTTTTCAAATGTGTAAATACATAGGGGGATTAGGGATGGAGATGGCTCTAAATGACAAGTTCTCGACCCAAAGGGATACTGTTAGAATTTTTAGATGACCCTTTCCTTGTATCTTTTCAAAATCCAGCAGTTCCAATTTGCACACATTCTTGGCAAAGGATTAGGAGGAGGTAATTGATGAGGTTCAGATTGGGTTATGCAGTTTCAGTTATTGGTCTAGATCCAAAGGAATAATGCTGTTGGTTTGCATTGTGAGCTTTCTACAGGTGTGGTTAAAGACTAAACAACACAAGGGGTTTCTAAGGGTTCATGGGAAAATATTGTTTCCATACTTCATGAAGCCTCCTTGTTCACAAAGAGTTAAAAGTTCAATGAAGGTTAGAATAGTTCATAAACTAATTTGAGGCAAAAGAGTAATTTATTGGTTCCAGGCCTTAAAACACCAAATTATGCCCCCAGAAAAAAATGCTATAAATTGGATGTTTTAAAAGAGAAACAATTTTTAATAAGATTATTATATCCCTAAGTAAGGTCTAATAATCAACTTGCTAAAGAAGAGACCATTCATATTGTATTTAACTATAATTTAAAATGCTTGTATATCACACTTATATTTTATCAATTGTGTTTTCATTTATAATCCATGTTTTGGGGTTGAAGGATCACGTTATTTTCAAGTATGAGTAGTCACCTCATTGCTCTCAGCAGTGTCAGCATGCACTAAATACATAAGGAACCCTAGTGCGCAATGGGTACACAATGGGCTGCTATCTGCAAGGTTGGCAGTTTGAAATCAACAGCCATCCAGTGGGAGAAAGATGAGGCTTTCTGCTCTCAAAGACTGAGAATCTTGGAATCCCTTGGAAACCTAAGAAATCCTACTCTGTCCTTTAGGATGGCTGTATCATTTGTAATCCGGGGACTGCCTGTACAGAAATATACAGGCAGCCCCCAGATTACAAATATGTTTCAGTCCTAAATCTGTCTTTAAGTCAAATTTGTATAACTCAGAACAGTTAGCTATTGTGTCTAATGTCAGTGAGTGAAATATTTGTCTTAGTATACAGTGTTCCTTCCAATGCATTAAAAAAACATATGAAAATATCCTAAACATACTACAGTAATATTCTCTGAATGTGCACTGTAAAGTAGTGCCTGTTCATTATTACAAACCATTGAATGTACCTTGAATTTTTAATATAACAGACTCTCCTGGGGCTGACTCGCCACTAGGGGTGGTACCTAACTTGGATATTCATAACCTGGGAACTGCCTCTAATGTGTGCGGTAGGAATAAGCTAACTCTTAATTATGCTAGTTTAATTCTGGCTTGATAAAGTAAAACACAGTGTCCACTGTAGCATAAAATGAAACACAAAATTAGTCCTTTGGGTCACAAATCCTTTATGAAGTTTTATCATGGCCATCACATTAACGTGTGTGTGCTTTGAGTGCTGTCTATCAGTTCTCCTAGGAGTCCTGGTGGTGGTGTGGTTATGCATTGGACTTTTCGTCACAAAACCACCAGACACGCAACAGGAGAGAGATGCGGCTTTCTATTCCAGAAAAGAGTCAGTCTCGGAAACTCACAGTGGCAGTTCCACCCTGCCCTATAGGGTCACTGGGAGTTGGAACTGACTTGAAGGTAGCTGAGTATGGTTTGAAGAGAGCAGTTCTCAGGGACAATGAATAATCAGTTCACAAACAAACTATACCCAACCAAATGAAACAGATGTCACAGTAACATTGTCTTTTTCAGGTAGTCTGTAGAAATCTCCCTGGGACAGTTTTACCAAGGCCACCAAGTCTCACCCGTCTCTTCTGTCTGCAGGCGTGTAGTCTAGCTCCTCTCTACCAGACCCTGGGTTAGAGGTTGAAGACCCCAAGGAAAGGTGGTTAAGGGTGAATCTCACTGAAATGGACTGCCACACTGCACTTGAAGAGCCACACAGGAGTGCACCTGGCCTATGCCAAGCAGCTCTGGGCTGAGGCCTGTCTTCAAAGAGTATCAGGAACACCATAGTTGAGAGTCTCTATTCAGACCTTTTTTTTTCAACATATATGGATTTTAATGGTCTGTATTGCAACACCATTACAACATCTTTTTAAGATAAGCTCACCTGGCTATGTTATCACAAATCCCATGGCCTCCGAATTTGGCGGTTTCCACAGGGGCCCCCGGCTTTCGCACCATGATCCTAAGAGTCAGCCGCTTGCCCTTCATGCCAGCAGCTTCAAGTCGTCTGTGGATTTCTTCTGAAAGACTCAAAAGAAAAGCGTCTGCTTCCTTTGGCTATGAAGAGAGAAACATGGGAAAATGCCCATGTCAATTTCCTCTATACCCAAACACTTAATAGTGAGCATATCTAATTGTTCACTTTATTTTGCTAAGCGTTTAATTCCAACACAAATAGCCTGCATACCCATTTTCCCAACCAAGTAAAAGTAAAGAGTATCTTTTAAAAAACCTTTTTTTCCTTGCTTTTCTACACCATCACTTATCCAGGGAAGTGTTGTTCTGGTGTGCTTTCTTTAGCACTGCGCTTTCTCCCTACCTCGAGCCCAGCACCATCTCCAGCCTCAGGGAGAGGTAAACGCTGGACTACTAGGTCCACACACCAGGAGGGGACTAATGGGCTAATCAGACTTCAAGCCCGCATGGCAGGGTTTAGGCATATGTCTGTGTAAATTCCTAAAGACACAGCCAAACCCAAATGTGTATTCGAAAAGGAAATGGAAATGATGCAAGTACCCAAATACTTCAACATTCCTCAAACTCACTTTCAGCCAGAGGTATTTTCTACACAAAATATAATTTCTGGTCTGTTTCCCTTCACTGTAGAATAGGTATACTGTACTTTAAAATTCTTTAACACTTGCCCCCCACCAAAGCACAATTGTTTCAAACCTATGCCTTTTTCTGAGATCTGGGTTCCCTCAGTCAGATCCTTGGGCTTTGATCTTACATACTGAACTTCAAGTCTCCGGGTCTCCCTGAGCAGGGGTGAAGACGGCAACGGAACAATGTGAACGATGACAATGAGGTGCAGTTGGTCAGAGATCCATACCTGGGTAAACCTTATGCCGTAGTTGATCTCAGCTGAAACAGACTTCCTTTGCTTTTCAGTTCGAACTGGCCGATCATCCAAACCCCGGCAGAACCTATAAAGCATTTGACCTGTCTTGGGACCAAATTCTTTTTGGAGTTTGGCCATGGTCATATATTGCAAGTCGCCGCAAGTTTTAATTCCCAAGGATGTCAACTTGGATTCCATTGAACGACCAACTCCTAGAAAAGGAGATAGAAACACAGAGACTTAATTCTGCAGATACGTGAACAAAAACAATCTTAGGAATAGGAAATAACTGCTATTCATACAAAAACCTAACTTAAAATGAGGTTAACTCCCTTAAAATTGTTGATACAAGCAAAGCATTTTAAAAATTTAAAGAATTTCCTTAGCACAAAATCATGCTGTTTAAGCAGAAATGTCTCAAAAACCCAAGACCGAATTAAGTTATCAAAAGCATGTAATTTTTAATCCTTAGTTTCAAATTTTCTATCTCACAAAATTGTCAATCAAGCAATGCTATTGTTGGCTACCAGCAAATAGGCTGATTTTCTACAGCTCCACATGTGCAAAGAGTGTGTGTATGTTTCAGGGAGTTGGAGGATGGGGTGGGGATACGACATGGGACACCAAACCACCAGCCATTCAGCAAGCAGTCATGTATTCAACCATTAGAACTATCTGGGAACTCCTGATTATTATTCCTAAAAACAATATAGCCTGTTGTTTTAAACGAGCTTGCTAGTATTATTTACAGACATACTAGCAGGCTCACTCACAAACACTTAGGGCTCTCTACTGCCATCACACTTCACCATAGCATCTACCACCCTTCCTTTAAATGAGAACTACAACAGCAACTTTTGATACAGGTCCAAACCCAGAAATATGTCACACTGGTCAAAAGCAGTACCAATGACACAGAGATGAAAGTTTTCGTCGAACAGAGGGCTGGAGAGGGCAAAAAGGCTTCTTTTATCAAAGAGTATTTCACTGAAAAGTTAGCAGCCCCAACAGTACACCCTCAAAGATGCAAGTCCCAAGCCTCGCTCAAAGGATACTGGTACTTTCTGCTGATCCAAGTTGGAGCCTTGGTTTTCCTCCAGTTACTCTAAAAGCTTATTTAGAAAATATGCCTATCTGGGGAAATGGTTAAGATAGGGGAACTGTCATTCTTATTAATATGGTCTCCACATCATCAAGTCAGTATTTCCCACTGATGAGAAAAGACCAGGCGAGTTTCTGCTCTTATAGGATCTTATTGAGAGAGAGCCTGGAGTGAAGTTTCTGCTCATTTCTGCCCTGGCTAATCCTGGCTCCCATCTTCCTTAGTGGTCTGCAAAACAAAGAGCTTGGAAGCAGTCATGTCTGACACACAGTTCAGAGGTTCTCACCACGACTGACCTATGGACCTATGGTAGTGGGTGAGGCTGACGGTGACACACAGGTGGCATCAGTTGCTGCACTACAAACCTCTAACTTTTCAGTTTAACAGCCCACGGACAAGTTGTAAGCAAGATCATTTTTAATAGAAATTACCTTCAGTGTTAAGGGCACTGCCTTCCACTCATGCCATTTTAAAGTCCAAGTGAGGTCCAAGTAAGGCTAACAGAGGCAACACGAGTGAGACCAACAGCCAGCCCACCTGGAACAACCATAACTCACAAGAAGGTAAAATTCTAAGTGAAGCCTGCCTGAGTTTGTTTCAAGATGTAGGACAGAGAAAACCAAGGGGACAGGCAACTCTTACAATGAGCTAGGCACAGGCAGGCAGACAGAAGGTCCGGGTCCCCCAAGATGCTCGTGGGCCTGGTGATCTACTTCTGAAAATCCTCTGAGGTGCAGTTCTATTATGACACACCCGGGGTCTATGAGTTGGGACTGACTTGACCTTGTAGACATTCCTTAAGAGGTTCAAAGCTGTGTTTAGGCACTCAGCCAGGACACAGAACTTGCCTCACACTTGACTTTCAGTGAGTAAAGTTGCACCACCCAAGAAGCAAATGAAGGTGAACAGGACAATGTCTGGGTCCTGGACTAAAAATCATCAAAGATTCTGCAAAATCAAGTCAGTAACCACAAAGTCAGTAGTTCAAAACCACTAGCCATTTGGCACAAGAAACAGGTGGCTTTCTACCCTCATAAAGAGTTAGTCTTTGAAACACACCAGGGCAGTTCGAGTCTGTCCTGTAGGTTGCTATGAATCAAGAATCGACTCAATGGCAGACTGTGTGTTATTGTTTTTAATATAATAAACTTCAACTCCGTTTCAGATACAGCTTTAAATATATAGGTTTCCTTATATATAAAATTCATGATTAAAATGGTCTAAATTGTTTTATCTAATAAAGTAATTTGGTAATTTGATTCTACAAAGTTAAACTTACCTTACAATTCACACTCACTTCTGATTCTAATACATTTCATGTTTTAACCTTATTTTTTAGGGAGTCAGAAAACTCAAAAATTACCCCACTCTAAACAGCATCAGGGTCATTTAACAGCTTATGGCCTTATAAGAAGACAAATTTCTAAGTTAGTTCCCATACTACCTTTTTTGAAATTAGATTGACAAATATGCATCTAAAAGTGCCACTAAGGGGGGCGGGGTCAGGGGGGAGGGAGGGGGAGGGGAAAAAAGGAAAATGAGCTGATTCCGGGAACCCAAGAGGAAAGCGAATTTTGGGAATGATGAGGGCAACAAATGTATAGGTGTGCTTTACACAATTGATCTGTGTATTGTGATGAATTGTATGAGCCCCAATAAATTGATTAAAAATAAAATAAAAATTAAAATGCCACTAAGTCTACCTTTAACAAGCCCCCCCCCCAAATTAATTTAAATATTTTTCATTATAAATGTCCTGAATTGAACTTTCCCCAAACACATAGAAAGCTTTACAGGTGTTTGGCAAGTGCCTGGTCCCAGATTGAGCTCTGTCTGAGAAGAAGGCATCTATCTGCTAGCATGCCCGTGGTGCCTGGGAGGTTAAGAGACTCTGACATAAACCCTTGTTTGTCTCTCACTCCAACTCCTAAATGATACCTAGCTTACATATTAATGGATCTGATTTGCATACCAGATGAATGGATGAAAATAACTATTGCAGGGAAAGGTGTTTTGCTTACTTCTTCAAGTACAAAAACTGCTGGGAATTCTGGAATTGTCATGGTTCAGAGAAGAAAGAATGTAGTAAAAGCTACTTAATACCTACAGCAGCAGAAAGAGATGAAATTTCGGGAGTCATGAGGAAAATACCCTATTGAATGAATGCCTTGAGAGTATTTATATGACTTATAAACAGATTAATAATTTTAGCAAGCGATGACTGTAATCTTTTAAGAGCTCACAGGCCTTTCCCAGGTAGCGTTCGGATTCTCCAACGGGAGACCCCGTGCTAGCACTGTGCCCTTTGCATCTGCTGTCAGAGCCGTGGGGAGCGCATGCTGCTGCTGTTTTGCGGCAGTGGGTGCCACAAATGACTTCCTGACGGTACCTTAGTGTGAGGGAAGGTGAAAGGAGTCCAACGTGTCTGCTGAGTCGTCAAAGAAAAGCAGGATTTAGGCAAAGACCTAATGAGGGTGGAGGAAGGAAGTGTTTATAAAAAAACTGGGATAGCAACATAATGGAATGCAAGCTTGACCAAAGTTTGGGAAAGAGTTTGTAGACAGTGCACGCATGGAATTTGAGAAAGGTGGAAGGGAAGGCAAGTTAGAGACAGTGTAGTGGGCCTCAAATCATGGGCTCATTTCAAACCCTCTAGCTTTCAGAGAACCTATACATAAGATTAGTGTATTTACTGGGAGGGGAAACAGTGGGAGAGGAAAGTTGTCATAAATAAATGGCATACAAAACCACTGGTTTCTTTATTTTCTTTAGAGAAAAACTTAATGGATTCCATAACTAAAATTGATAAACATTTAGATAATTTTCTGAAGCCACAGCTTCAGGTCCTCAACCATGGTGATGGGTGGGTGGGGAGTAGGTTATGGATGGGGGTGGATGATGGGGAATTCGTTAAAAAATCAAGTTCTGTTTGTAAGGTGAAAAGCAAGAAAGGAAGGGTATGAGAATTCATCGGGTGAATTCAATACTACGTAAGATAAGATTTGTGGTCATTACTGTATGTACTTGAGTATAAGCCAACCTGAATATCCACAGAGGCACCTAATTTTACCACAAAAACTGCATTAAAAATGTGCTGAAAAACTTGACTTATACTCAAGCATGTGCATTATATAATTCCATGTAAACTTGAAGATATATAGAAGTTTAGAGGTGGTACTCAACCTGTCAATCAGGTTAACAGTCTGGTGGACCCTCCTTGTGGCCTTAGACTCATAAGGAGGTTCCTGGGAACTTCCCCTCTCTCTCTTCCTTTACTTCCTGATGGCTGCCGCTGATTGCTTCCAGAACCCACCGCCGTTGGATCCACAAGATTTTTGCGCCCACTGGCTTGTGATATTCTGCATTCTATATTATTCATTGCATGTGGCTACGTGAGTCTGAAGAGGGACTTATGCACCAGTATCGGACCTAGGGATTTGAGTTAGACTGGGCTGGGATGTCTTTTTGATATATAATTACTGTATATACTCGTGTATAAGCTGATTTTTTCTGCACATTTTAATGCAGCTTTCGTGGTAAAATTAGGTGCCTTGGCAGATATTCAGGTCGGCTTATACGGTACTCCTTGATAAAATTAAAGCTCTATCTTACACATGAGTGTCACTAAATTTGTTTCTCTAGTCAATTTGACCGAACACAAGATTAGAACCTTACATTTTAAAACAAGAATAACCATTATGGTATCCAGAGTGGATCTTAGAACAGTTCTCATTATACCCACTGACTTTTATTCAATTTGTTTCATGCACAGAATACTTTTTATTCAACTTGTGTTATGTACATATATTTAATGAAATTTAACAGATTATTGATAAAAAAAAAACTTTACAAAGCCGACATCATCTGCTTTATATAAACGAGAGGAGTATCTAAAAACAGCATCAAGAAATACCATTTGCCTTGGTAAATTTGGAGAAATTTACTAATCTAATCATAGAAAGGAAGCTACTATTTGACAATTTGTGAGATAGTCACACACACACACACACACACACACACACACACACACACAATCCTAGATCAACTCAAGACACCACAAGGCCAAACCATTTGTCTGCTATAACTAATTATAATTTAGTGATTTGTTTTCCCATGGGAAAGTTTTTTAAGAGCTTAAGTTGTTTCATCTCTTTTAGCCATATGGTAACTAAATAAAAAGCAAGAATAGCTGAACACCCTGCCCTTTGGATAAGGACAGCATAGATGAACTTTTACTTCAACCTCTAGCATTAACACATATAAAACATTCCCCTGTGTTCAGGTTCCATTTTTCCTAACATAGTTCATACTTTTTCTACTTTTAATCAAGGTGATATTCATTGAGGAATTCTTTCATTTTGATTTTTATGGCACTAAAGAGTAGTTTATATATTTACTTTTAATTGCTGTTTTGGAAAAGGGACAACTCTAAAAGGCACTACAAAGTTGACAGTTCAGAAGACTTTGAGAGACTTGTGTTTACCTGGGAGATTAATAACTAGCTGGCCTCTGATGAAGTCGTCGACTTCCTCTGGCTTTAAGTGGTACTGCCCGTCTGGTTTTGCTTTTCTGGTTGCCATTCTAGCCAGGAGAATATTAGAACCTAGAAAGTTTATTTAAAAAATAAAAAGCTTTTCAATAAATATTCGTGATATTTTCTTAATTTCTTACCAAAAACAACTACAGACAGGTTACATACCAAATTTCTAAAAATAACTTTGAATATGTCAAACATTGTATAGCACGACACTGACAGGACTGTGCTTTGTACTGTCGATGGGAGCAAGTGTGGGGGCTGGACAATGGTCAGAAGCTTCTCTTTACTCGCCTTCTACTAGCCAGATGGTGGAAGTAGAGAAATCGGTCCTGACCTTAAGGTTTGGGTTTTCAGGCAGTAAGGGTAACTGAAATTCATGCTTGGTAGGAAAATAAAACTAAAGTAACACTATCAGATTGGGCAAAACACAAAGTCAAGGAACCAGAAGCCTCACCGTGCAATCAGCACATGTGGAAGGGAGACGGAGGGCAGGACAGTCTTACAAAGATAGACAGATGTTGACTGTGAGAGCCATGCTGGGGATGTGGGCATGAAGGGCTACCGCAGATCAGAGGAAGGGGTTCTGGACCTGACTGGATATCAGATATTGGTGGAACTAGTATGTTAGGGGAGCTTCTATGTAGATTTAAAATCTCAAGAAATTATGAAACATATACCATAAGAATTATGGCAATTAGTTTGTTCCAGTTAGCTATTAACTATGTGAACTTCCAACACTTGTAACATGAACTGCACACCTCTTAGTAACACAACTGTCTTAGAAGTGAGGTTTATGCAGCAAGCTAGTAAAAACACAAACATAAAATGGCTTCAATGACTTGAAATGAAGTGACAATTTTAGGGATTCCAAAGCAATGCTTTTCATTAAAATGGATAATACAATGTGAGCTGGATACTGACCAATTCCCACAGAGGCCGCACATTGAGTCTGGTCTTTGATTTCCATTCGCACAGCATTTGCAAACTCATCAGGAGTAAGTCTGGTCTCAGCAAGGACTTCAGTGATGTCTACCAGTGCTTCATCACAGCTGACAGCTTCGATGTTGTGTGTATAGCTATCAACACAGAGCAAAGGCAGTGATTCACAGCCACAGCACAGCATCTGCTGAGCAAGTGTTACAATAAAAGCTCTCCCATGGCATTATCCTCTAACATTCTCTCACACATTTTAGATGCTAAAACATCAGTGCTAAAAACAAGGTGGGAAGAACTACAACAACAAACAAGGAGGCTCCAGGTGCCGTTCTTTAGTTACCCATCTTTTCTCTGTTCAGTTACTTCATGTTTTCTTTCCCACGGTAACTACTAAAAATTCAATGGCATTCATTCCATTTTCTCTCTACTGACAATGTTATTGTACATCTTTGACTACCTGGAAAGTTCTGAATGAATTAGACTGATTCATAACACTTATTCTAAATTTTTCAAACAGCATTTACCAAATCCATCAAGTAAGTATCATGTATACTCAAATATAAGCCGAGGCACCTAATTTTACCACAAAAACGGCATTAAAAATAAAGCTGAAAAATTTGACTTATACATAAGTATATACAGTAATTCCTGCTTGCCCTAACAAAGATATGATTAAACACCATCCACAATAGCAAGTCTACAATGCAGTACGATAAAACGGTTCATTGTTCTACCTGAGACATGGCCATTTATACTCCCTGATTTACTTTGGCTTTGGTCATCTTTAATGATCTACTCTTAAAAGATGATCATATGAAAAGAAAAAATAAGAAAAGCGTTGCTTTGCAGTGTGGCTATGAAACGGAGTGAGAATAAGCCTGCACTGTAAGGAAACCAGAGACCTCAGAAGTAAACATTTGTCTAAAGCTGTCTACTAGGTAGTGTGTACATAGTACAAGGACCAGGCTTCATTTTTCACCTCTATGTCACTGCAAGTTACAAATCAGATTAACACCTGAGTCATTCAGTAAATGAGTGTGCTTTGCTTAGGCTGAAATTAAAGCTAAAAATCTAAAGAACATAAGAGTACACATGATGTGAACTTTTTTTTTCCTTGAATGAAGCTATATGCCCCTGGTATTGTTTCTACTGATAAAAATTGTATCAGGGTTATTCTAGACTGATCTTGCTGAAGTTCTTCAGATCTGAGGTCCAGGGTGGCAGCCTGCCTGAGGACCTACTTGCTCTCTCAACCATGCCACCCCCTTTAGATGCTACCACTGACCGAGCTTTGGAACACTCTCCACACCAGATTTCCACATTTGGGATCTTAAGACAGCTATGATTATAACTGACCTACCACTCAGCACTCAACCCTATTTACTGATAGCGGATTAAGTGCACTGTCTCGGTCTGTTTCCTCCCTTCTACTAACATAAGCTCTTGTGAAGGTAAGAATTGGGTCCTAGTCCTTTCTGAAACTACCAGCAGTGAACAGTGTTTTGCACTTTTGTACATTTCTGAAGAGCAAATAAGAATTATGGCAATTAGTTGGTTCCAGGTTTTCTTTTACTATTAAATATAGGCATGCTAATATTTTTTAAATCTATCTTTTCTCAAAAGGAACTAATCATATTCCACAAAATAAACATCAGTAAAACCTAATTATTTTAGAAGATAAGGTCTCTATTCCTTACCAACCCGTCATTTCTAATTTAAACAAAACTAGAACTCAGATGTAGTAGTATTAAGAGGGCACAAAGCTCAATTCTCAACCTGGTTCCACTGGAGGGGGGAGAAAAAAAAAGATCTTTACACATAGTAATGTTCCATGGGTACCAGGAAACACTTGAACAACTTCAGTGGTGGGAAAATACACCTTGAAATTGAGCTACTCATTACTGGGACTGAAGGCTACCAAGTTGGGCGGTTGAACAAAGGGTTCCTGGAAGAGGTAAACATCCACCAAAAACAACCTTGATGACGTGAAAGAAAACAGAATGATCTTTCGCATGCCCTGGAGAAAACAGGGCAGTTCAGATAGGAAAGTGACTGTAACATACACTGTACCTTGCCAGGGTTTCATACATTGTTCGCGCAACTTCCTTATATGCATGAAAATCATATGGAACAGCTTGAAGATTAGGACATAACTGCTTAGCGTGTCCAAAAAACATTCCATTCTTAATGCCAACTTGTCTGGAGAGAGGAAAGAACAAGTGGAGGCTATACTGTAGAGTGTTAAGCTCAAAACTATAAATAAGATATGCTGGTAGTATCTCCCCATGCCACTAGCATATGATTTTCATTTAACATTATTTTCATAAGGGATCAAAAAACAGACTCTACAGGAACCTTACAAGTTGGTTTTCCCCTCAAAGGAAAATGACATAAGGGTCTGATCTGTGTCAGTAACATCTGTAGATGTGCCAAAACACACTCTATTTAAAGACCAGGTTTAGCTCACATCTGCATATGGAGACTTCTCCGTGGACGCAGACCTTTGGCCCCTTTGCAGAGATGCCAGCACGCCATATATGCTGGTGACATCCCAACGACCACAGAGCAGGAATGTACTGTTTTTCAAAAGACATTTTCTTTGCCTAATGCATGGCACTATTTGGCCAGGGTTCAACCCCCAAAAACAAAGAATATAAACAAAAGAACTACACAAACAGTGCTATGTGACAAACAGACAAAATGTACTCATCCTATTACCACCCAATTCCCAATTGACCAATTCCATGCTCCTGAAGTGGCTTCACAGTGGCTGAGATGCCAACAGCATTGTATATGGCAGGACATCACTCTGGGCAGGAGCCAGTGTTCCAGAACTTTGAGGGACCTAATTGAAAATGGTACATTTTAAATCTACTGAGTGTCTAAATGCCCCACATTACCCTTTGATATTTGGAACTCTCGCACAAAATTATAATTATGGAATGATACAGAAATAGTAAAAATTCCACTTAACCACTCTGTAATGAACCAAGAAAAAATATTATAGTAAAAACAGCAGCAAAATAAAGCAATGTTACATTCACCTAAGCAAATACATCACATGGTTAATCAATACAATCATTCAATATTTGCTAACTGCTTACTTAATACGGTAGTGTGCCCTGATAGAAACAGCTCTCAATTAAACACAGGCCTTCTGGCCTCCTCTCCACACCCACACCACAATTGAGAGCCAAGAAGGAAGAGTCCCTCAAGTTACTCAGAGGTAAATGCAAAATCACCTACAGTCTATTACATATGCATAAAAAGTAATATGATTGCTAAGACCCTGTTAGATGAGAAATGCTGGTCAGAGAAGTGATAAATTGCATTAAAAACAGCAACAAAATAAAATTACCCCCTAATTCATTCAACAAGTACTTATATCTCAGAACCTTCACTAGGTGGTGGGTCTAAGATGATGAATAAAACAGTCACCATGAAGTTCGTGAGGAGGACATTAAATTCACCTCGCACAGAATGAAGTATATTCAACAGACTTTGTATAGTAAGCCAAGGAAGCATACAAATATAGTAGTTTAGATGTATAGACAGAAATATGTAATAGCAGTTTAGTTACTAGAGCGGAGTTACTCGAAGTTATTAAAGCAGAAAGGGGGTCTGTTGTTATGTGCCCTCCAGTAAGTTTCAATTCATAACAACCCTTGGTACAAGCAAACAAACACTGCCTGCTCCAGCGCCATCATCCCAATCTTCCCCATGTCTGAGACTAGCGTAGCAGATACTGTGTCAATCCATCTCATTGAGAGTCATTCTTTTCAAAGACCCTTGACCAAGCATGTTCTTTTCAGGGACTGATACCTCCTAATAACATACCAAATGAATAACATACCACTTGGTAAGATACACTAGTTTAAAAACATTTACAATAATGCTAACTATCCAACCCTTTCTCAAAGGGAGAAAGATGTAATAGTCTATTTCCATATATATTATAGCCCTGAAAACCCTATAGGGAAATTTTATTCTGTCCAATAGGGTCCTGATGAGTAGGAATGAATTGCATTGCAATGGGTCTAGTTTCATAAGGGAGTCACAAACAACAGGAAACCTGCACAGCTTCCCATTACCAAGGGAAACAAAATATCGTGAGTCGTTAGATAGGAAACTAAGTTTCATAATGAAAAGGTTTGTAGAGACTCTTCTATACAGTAAACTAAAAGCCCCCGTGAACAAACTGTCAATACTGTCAATACGTCACTAAGTGAACACTGCAGGAACAGTTCATTTCGAGGTTGAAAGTGTGTCTGTACACCCTTTTCTTGTAACATTTTGCTCAATGGCATTTTGTGCTGGATTCAACAATATAAGAAACAATCATTAAATTGCTTTCACTGTCCATTCAATATACTGAGAAATAATTATCACTAATAATTCAAAAGGGTAAAGAATTCTTACAAAAACAAATGAAAAGGTGTTTAAATTATGTGACCTTAAAAGGCTACGATGCTACAATATGGGTACTTGTTATCTTTTTACCTACATAGCCACCTTCTCACTTGCTATGTACTAAGCTTGTTCTTTATGATAAATCCAAAAGAAAACTCAAAAGTGTTGAGTCCATTCAGACTCAAAAGAACACTACAGGACAGAGCAGAACTGCCTCCCAGGGTTCCCCAGGCAGCACTCTTTTTGCGCTTATCGGTAACGTACGCAGGTAACACCAATTCAACTGCTGCTGATGCACATACAATTCCATGACAGGATTTTCTCTGAGTTGGGCAGTCATTCTCACCTTCCTTTTCCGAGTTGTTCCTCCACCGTTAACATCAACTCGCTGCCCCCTACAGTTCCTATCTAGTTTTCTGAATTGCTGTGATTACTTTAAGGAGTCCTGGGGTAGCGTAATGGTTACGCATTGGGTTGCTAACTGCAAAGTCTGCAGTTCACAACCACCAGGTGTTCGGAGGAAGAAAGATGGAGCTTTCTACTTCTGTAAAGAGTCAGTTTCAAACTCAGAGGCAGTTCTACCCTGTCCTCTATGAGGCAGCAATGACTCGGCAGCAGTACGGTGGGTTATCATTTTGGTCTCAGTTCTAAAAGGGGTACAATGCCAAAGGCAGACATTTTGAAAGGGCTTAAAGTTCCTTGGTTAAACTAACAGTGACAAGTATTCTAACTTTATTACCTACAACTACATATTCTACCTTTCTATGACTTCTATCATCTAACACACTGTATCCTTTGATGAGCCCTTACTAGTTTCTATTTAAAGCTTACCAATGGTCAGTGGGACTACCCCCACAACTCCAGTCCCCACTTTCAATCCCAGAAAGAGTTCTTTAGTAGAATTGTGAATTATGGAAAAAAAAAGTGAATTATGCTTGCTTCATTCTTTTTTAAGTCTTCACACTTAAGGAAATTATAACTGATGAACAGCTACAAAAAAAGGGTATTCAGCAATTCTTTTAATAGTCTTTTATAGATTAGAGAATTGTAAATACAGAAAGTTCATTGCTATTTTAAAAAATATTTTCAGTTAAATGCATTTTCATTACTTTATGTATTTCCTTAAAATAAAATTTTGTCATTTTAATGGCTAACTACATAGTATTAGTCTCCTATATGTTATCATAGCAATAATTATGTGAGGAATTTTGCTTGGCCATTACCATCTCTGATACTGTTGGGTAAGATCGAGTCAGCTCCAACCCAAAGCAACTCTAGTACCGAAGAACAAAACACTGCATGGTCCTGTGATATCCAGCCCACTGACACCGCCACTGCATCAATCCATTCTGTCAAAGGCCTTCCTCTTTTTTGCCGGCCCTCCACGTCAGCAACATGATGTCCTTCTCCAGGGAAAGTTCCGAGGACTCCCGACAACACGTCCAAAGCATGTAAGATGGAGTCTTGCCATCCTTACCTATAAGGAGTACTCTGGCCTTACTTCTTTCCAATACAGATCTGTTTGTCGTTTTAGCAGTTCATGGTACTTTCAGTATTCTTCTCCAGCACCACAGTTCAAATTTATCAATACTTATACGATCTTCCTTATTCAGCGTCAACTTTCACGTGCATAGGATGCAATGGTGAATACCATGGTTTGGGTCAGGTGTACCTTAATCTTCAAAGTGGCATCCTTGCTCTTCAATACTCTAAAGAGTTCTTGTGCAGATTGACCTAAGGCAATATGTCTTTTGATCTCTGAACTGCCGCTTCCTTGAGCATTGATTGTGGATATAAGCAAGACAAAATACCTGACAACTGCAACCTTTTTTCCATTGATCATGTTACTTATCGGTCAAGTTATGAGGATTTTGGTCTTCCTTACATTGAGTCATAATCTAAACTGAAGGCTACAATCCTTGATCTTCATCAATAAGTGCTTCAATTCCTCCTCAGTTTCAGCAAAGTTGTGTCATCTACATACCTCAGGTTAATAAGCCTTCTTCCAATCCTCATGCCACACTCTTCTTCATATAATCCAGCTTCTCTTGATTTGCTCAGCATATAGACTGAACAAGTACGGTGAGAGGATACAACCCTGATGCACACCTTTCCTGAATTTAAACCATGCAGTACTCTTGTTCTGTTCACACACCTGCCTCTTGATCCAAGTCCAAGTTCCAAATGAGCACAATGAAGTTTTCTGGAATTCCCATGCTTCTCAAGGTTATCCAGTTTATTATAGTCCACACAGTTAAATGCCTTTGTATAGTCAATGAAACAAGTAAACATCTTTCTAGTATTCTCTGTTTTCAACAACGATATCCCTATTCCACATTCTTTTCTGAATCTGGCCTGAACTTCTAGCAGTTCCCTGTCAACCTATTGCTGCAACCACTTTTGGATGATGTTAAACAAAATTGTATTTGTGTATGATATCAATAATTTTGTTCTGTAGCTTGAACATTCTCTTGGGTCACCTTTATTTGGAATGGGCACAAAAAAGGATCTCTTTCAGTCAGTTGTCCAGGTAACTGTCTTCTAAATTTCCAAATATAGACAGTGTCCCTCAGCTTTCTGAAACATTTCAATGGATCTTCCATCAATTCCTGGAGCTTTATTTTTGGCTAATACCTTCAGTGCAGTTTGAACTTCTTCCTTCAGCACCATTGGTTCTTGTTCATATACTATCTCCTGAAATTGGGGGATTGTCGACTAGTTCTTGGTGGTACAGTGATGCTATCTATGTATTCTTTTTATCTTCTGTTGATGCTTCCTCCATTCAATATTTTGCCTATAGAATCTTTCCAAGTATCAATTCAAAGCTTGATGTTTTTCTTGAGTGCTTTCAGTTTCAAATATGGTCTTTGAGTTTCATCCTTACCATCTATTGTTCCAGCAAATGCACCATCCAAACATACATGGACTTCTACAAGTGTCAAAGAGAGTGCAAAGCCGCCAAGAGAAGGTAACATATTTCCACCTCTAAAGCAGCACTGGCATCCCCCATCCAGCATTTACCTTGAGGGTACTGAGTCTGAAAGGAGGCCCTGCAGAAGCAGTAAGGAAAGCTTGGAGTTTCTGTCCTGAGTCACTTGGTCCAGTGAGCAGGAGTCCATGGCTGACATGCTCAGCTACTAGTTGAAAGGTGAGCAGTTAGAATCCAGCTACCAGCACCTCAGAAAACAGGCGTGGTAATCTACTTCTGAAAGGCTCTATGGTTAACTTAGTGGGGGATAATGGCCTAATCTACTGAGCACAGTATAAAATCAGCCCTGCACTACCTGTGCTAACAAAAAAGCAACATATACAATCCAAAATGCATTTCTACTTGACTTAATTACCATTCTTAAAGAGTTTCAACTCCTTAGCTATATTATCAACCAACAATGAAAAAGTCTAAAGTACAGTAGTTCTGTTGATGAAAAACAAAGTTGGCTTAGGAATAAAAGTTTGACAAGTCATAAATGGAAAACAATGGAAAATATTTTAAAATTACATATGTTTAAAAATAGTTTACTTAATACTTTCTTCATAAATTAATCAGCAAGATTTTAAAAGAGCTATTCTTATTAGATGCTGTTAAGCTAAAACAGAGACTGTTTCCAAATTGACCTATTTGTATCACTCCAAATTTAAATACAGAGAGAAAAATTTAAATGACAGACTATTTCTCTTTATAATTCTTAAATACTTGCCAAAAGTGTCTATTTGTTATGTTATAAAGGACTAAGCATCTATGTTTACTAGGAAAGGAAAAATTGGACTTTCTATTTTTTATTTTAACTATTATAATTAACTCCTCCAAAATGAGTGATTTTTTTATAAGCACAAAGAACATAAATGTCTATTTCAACTTGTATTCAAAAAGACAATTATGATTAGGGTTTGAGGTTACTGTGAGATAGAGACCTAATCACAAAATTGATATTAGTTGGTAAAACTCAACTAATTAAAAAACAAACAAACCTATAAACCAAACTCAATGCCAGCAAGTCTATTCTGGATCGCTATGAATTTTAAATATAGAGACAATTAAATATGCCAACATGAACGTATTTACTTGTAATTTCACAGGAAACAGAAACCTGGTGGCAAAGCAGTTAAGCACTTGGCTGCTAGCCAAAGGGTTGGCAGTTCAAACTTGCCAGAAGCTTGCCGGAGGAAGCCCTGGTCATCTGCTCCAGCAGAGGACAGCCTGGGAAAGTGTGGGGACGGCTTTCCTCAGTCACATCAGGTTGACGAAATCAACTTGAAAGCCCTCAACAGCAGTGTAATAGGCAACCGAGTTTTAACATAATTTAAACAACAACACTAAGAAGCAAAAGGTTTAGATTCCAAGGTGGTTTTTAATTTTGATTTTAAGCTGTAAAAAGCAAAGACCACAGTAATAATAGTAAGGCCCTCATCCCTTTGAAACTATCTTCCATGCTTTAAAATACAACTATTTGAAAATAATGGTCCCCACTTTCTTTTGGTTTCTGCTGATTGTCCTATTAGTTTACTGGGTAAATATTAACTGCTTACAAGTTAACTAGCATTTGTGAAGGGGGATTGGGAGAGGAGGTGGGACACCAAAGGGATGAAAATTAAAATCATTTTCCCAATAATATTTAACATTTAAATCGAAAGCCTGACTGACATGTCCAAATCCACTTCTAAAAATATAGAACAATTAACTCAATTAAGTTGCCACTATTATATTACACTGAACTTCTACATACCTGGCTTCATAACTACAAGATGCAATTTCAGCCTTTGATAAAACAGAATCAATTCCATTTGATTGTGCAGAATCTGGAGTGTCCCACACTGACGGATCAGGTATTTCTGCTTTAGAAATAAAATTAAATGAGTATATGTTGAAAATGGATTTTTTTATCTTTCATCCAAAAAATGTTTTGCATTGCATTCCTATATAAGCATTCAGTAAATTCCAAACAACATCTCCAATTGGTATTTATTTCCTTATTTAAGCAAAGTTTATAACAGTAAAGTTCATTTCCATTATACTCTTCACTCCATCAGCAATCAATTAAGTGTCCTGCTTTAGTACTAAACTCAATTTTTAAAATACACAAATATAAAATATTCCTCCAACAGGCTCTTAAAATTAGTAAGATTAAGAAAGTGAACGAGATAAATCTCGACTGACTGCTGTAAAATGATTGTAAAATTTCTCTGTAATGGCAAACAATTAGTGGGAAATGAACATTTATTGGAATGCTCTTTGCCATTTTCTAATTGAAGGATCAGCAAAACATACATCACAATCCTACAAGCCATCTGATCAAAAAGTAATTTAGTAAGCCACGTAACCAATAAAGAGGTCTTCATCTTAAATTTAAGGTTTTTCTTTTGGCTATGTAGCAAGTAAAAGGGCCTCACAAAATTATCCCTTTTAGGTAATTCTACTCTTAGTTTAACAATGCATGTTGAATTAAACACATTCAAGTGTGCTAAAAATACCAATTGCTTTATAGAACACACAAGTGCTGTCTAAATGGTACAGCTAACTTAATAGCCAAGCCACACGTGATGCTGTACGCAAGAACAGAAAACATGACCTAGTGAGCCCATTGGCTGCGTGCCACTTTGCTTCCTTTACCACTTTCAGCATCACTAGCAATTTAGAAATAGACTTGAAACAGTTTCAGTTTATAGGTCCCTTGGGATGATATTATTAGGTTACCAGAAGAATATGCTGTAAAAACATATTACACATTCTAAAAATATTATCTCAGCCATATCTCCACTATTAAAAGCAAAAATATCATCAGTTAGAAAAATAAAACTGAGATAAGCCACTGAAGCTACATCTAAGACAACCCTACTTTGAGTACACTGAACCCAGCATTTCTTTTCTGTTTACTTTGGCAGAGTTCACAGACCATCAGAACCACAGGGCACAGTATCTGACTTCACAGGTTAAGGCAACCCCTCTGGGGGGGACTCCAATAATCCTAAGTATGACCGGTTATGCACCTCTGACACCTGCAACAAGCACGGCTGCCTCCAAGCACCCGTTCACGTAAAACATAAATGCAAACCAAATTCTAAGGATGGCCACCTCAGTGGGGTAAAATCCTACTTGCCTCAAAAGTAAAAATGGTTTAATGTATCACTTGAGCTTGGTTTCTGATATGGCAACAACACATTGCTACCCTGATACAAGCTACAGGCAGAATGCAGAATAGACTGCTTGGGGCATCTGAAGACCCTAAGGCTACACATCACCTTTAACCGTCTATTCTAAACTAGAAAAACATACAAGGATCAAACATCAGAGTGCAATAGAGGGTGCTATCAGACCAAAAAAGTGCTGAAGCTTGATCACAACCAGCTGCCTTTCAAAGGTATGACTGTGAGTTATGCTTTAAAAGTGGGGACTTAGGCGATTTCTGTATTTGAAGGGCTAGTTAGCTAGCCTAAGAGACTTGTTTTGGAAATTAGAGAAAAATCATGCTTGAGGGGCAGTCTCTCTGGGGCGCAGCACCCGTGTGTTGGCCTTCACTGGGCTGGCTGACCTTTTCCACAGAGCAGCAGAGTGCGCGGATCCCTCCATGAGCGGAGTGAGTTGCTTCATGTGAGATTCGGGGCAATGCAGGGACACAGTGTCCTCACTGGAGGGCAAAGTAGAGAACTGCGCATCAAAACTTGACAAACTAGACGGGCACATGGAGAATGTGGAGTAACGGTTGGAGAAATCAGAGGCCAGGACCCAAGTCTGTGAAAAAGAAATCGCTCAGAATAAATCTATGACTAGCATGATTTTAAAAACTGTTGTTCTTTAGAATGAAAACTGAAGTTGCTGAAGGGAGAGGACATAGCTGTATCCTGGGAATCCAGGCGAGGGAATAAAAGGCCCCAACCATGAACTCTTAAGTATAAATGGAGTCCAAACAATGTGGGCATCAATGAGAACTGTCATTGCTGAGTACTGGCTCAGCAAGCAGCTTCAAAAAGGAAGTCATGGGTGAAGATCCCAGGTTACATGCTGGTCTCATCATCAGACAAAAGAGGCTCTGAATATCGAGTAAGGAACTGAGGTTTCTATCAGGGACTAACGATGCTAGACGCCCTGCTACTTTGCCCAGCCATCAAGTCAAATCATTTTTTCTTAAAGATATCATGTGGAAGCCAAAGATTTGAATTCTTAAACTGATCCTCAATTTTTTCCAATTTAGCATCATGCTGACAATGACCCAAAGAGAAAAAGATCAGGAAGTAACGAGGAAAGAAGAGCCGAGACACTGAATAAAACAAATCCGAAGCATTAAGTTTAGAAGTGACCAAATTTGAGAAAGGATTATCTATTTATTTTATAATTTAACAAATATTTTGGTAAGCCCTTAAGGGTTCAAAAGGCTTAGTATCCAAAAGTGAATGGTATCAAGGTAAAGCAAGAGTATAAAATAAAGAGCAGCATATTCACTTATTCTAGTGAGAGTCTATTTGCGTGACAGTTTTCAATGGCAAATGACATTAATATTTTTCTAATGATTCACCTTTCTGAAGTAGAACGGTAAGAATTCTAAAAGGCAATTAAACTACTAGGAAAATCCCCTGGCTAAATTGATGAAGACAAGTAGCCAATGACAGCAGTCTGTTAACAAGCTATTTGTGGGAGACTGACTTTGATGGGAGGAAAGGTAAAAGGGATGTGCTTGCTGAAATGTCGACTGAAGGAAGGATGTGTGTAACACACATACCACCCTACTCGTGTCAGAATATGGAGCACTGAGCAGCTGAAGAGTCACCACTGAGCTAACTCATTGAGTTGTCACACACACATCATGTCTGTCTTTCAACACTCAAGTAGGAAGCTCTACTGACTTCCGAGGATGTAACATGTATCATGCATTTCCTCAAACTACTCATTCCTGAAGCCTAAAACTCGATCTCTTAAGTAGAATAATATAGGAAATTAAAAAAACAAATACCAACTACCACAAAACCATACCACTAGTATTTAACACCCACAATGGCAAATACAATGCAACCACACCTCAGACAGAACCAGTTTACTAAAGAACAGCTGCTCCATGGTATCATAAGGCACGCAAGTCAACCTACCAAAAATCTCTGAAAAAACCGAAGACAAAACAAAACAAAGCGCCCATCTTTGGAAAATAGATGTACAAGTGGTGCAAACTGGGCATCTACACTTATTTTCTAACGATTGTACCTATACAATGAACAAAACTACTGTAATCGCAGAAAGAAGAACACTGTGCTACGAGATGTGCGCTGGCTCTCTTTTTGCCTTAACTTCATGGCTTCCATGGGAGCATCTCTAAAAGTAGCCCAAGGTTTACTAACATAAACAAAGAATCACACTGCATTCCTTCTACAATACACCGTAGATCTAATTTCTGACTCATTTCTGATTAGCATTTTTCTGAAAGGCTAATTAAAAAATTGTGGGGCTTTGCAGAAATCCATGAAGAAAACTATTACATGGGTCAAAGGAGTTCTTTTTTTTTATTTTTTTTAAACATTTTATTAGGGGCTCATACAACTGCTATCCCAATCCATACACACGTCAATTGTGTAAAGCGTATTTGTACATCATTTCTCAAAACATTTTCTCTCCATTTAAACCCCCGACATTAGGTCCTCATTTTTCCCCTCCCTCCCCGCTCCCCCCTCCCCCACGAGCCCTTGATAGTTTATAAATGGGTATTTTGTCATATCTTGCCCTGTCCGACTTCTCCCTTCATCCACTTTTCGGTTGTCTGTCCCCCAGGGAGGAGGTCACACACAGTTCCATGTAATCGGTTCCCTCTTTCCTACCCATTCTCCCTTTACCCTCCCTGTTTTGCCACTCAGACCACTGGTCCTATAGGGCTCATCCATCCTGGATTCCCTGTATTTTCAGTTCCTATCTGTACCAGTGTACCTCCTCTGGTCTAGCCAGTCTTGCAAGATAAAATTCAAGTCATGGTAGTGGGAGCGGGGAGGAAACCTTTAGGAACTAGAGGAAGGTTGTATTTCTCATCATTGTTACATCGCACCCTGACTGGCTCATCTCCTCCCCGAGACCCCTCTGCAAGGGATCTCCAGTGGCCTACTAATGGGCTTTGGATCTCCACTCCACACTGCCCCCATCATTCACTATGGTAAGATTTTTTGTTCTGATGATGCCTTACACCTGATCCCTTCGACACCTCGTGGTTGCAAAGGAGTTCTTTCAAGGCAATTATTTCTGAGGGAAATAAAGATATCTGAAAATCTTACATAACATTTGGAATGATCTAGTTTATTGCTTTTTATTGAGATCTAAAAGGTAAAAAGCCAAAGCAACAAGAACTGCTGTTTCGTACAGGAACTAAAGATTTAAAAGGAAACAGGGACACAGGATAACGGCAGTCCAATAAAGGCAGAGTTCTATTGTGTCTTCTCCCACACCCTCAGAAATCTTTTTGAAACGTGAACTTGAGTGACCCTGCTGTGACACAGCACCCCAACAACTAGTCACTGCCAAGTTCTGAGGCTTCCATGAAATGATGCCCCATCGTTTGCACCACCAACCTAAACAGAGACAAGGCAAACTAACCACACCTTTGAAAACTCTTCACCATCTGTGCTTGGAAAACATAACTATCTAATTCAAGCAAACATCAGTGGAGAGAAAATAACTATAAATAGTCATTCGTAGTACCCTGAGATTTTGCTTTGATTTAAGATGTCACTGACATTCATAAAACCCTTGAATGAAAAAGCTAATTATTTCAACTCTGCTTTCATTTCTGCAACGTTAATACCAACAGCAAAGACCCGAAGTCCTCAACAGGAACAGTGTGACTTCAAAGAGAGCTCATTATTTGTACCTGCTTTGCCTTTCAGGATTTTATTCTGGTAATAATGCCACTCCAAATGGGGGTTGGCACCAGGGCGTAAAGGTGCCCTTCCTGTGCCTCTGTTACTTGTGACAGCCACTGGTTTTCCTGTAGAGAAAAGCATAAAATTATCTCTACTCCATGTACAGGAAATATGAACAATATTTACAATATATAACGTTTTCCATGGTTTTCTAAAAATTTGATGTTTTAAAATTTAGATTTAGCCTCTCATCTATAAGGTACTATCTTTAAGAAATTATCAATCACCATTCAAAAACTATCTGAGTTTCTGACCAGTAACTCAAAAGGGAAGCTATTTGTGACAATTGTGAGACATTTATCCAACTTACTGCTACTTATCTTTCAGAGGCTTTTGTTTTATCTTGTAGAAGGGACAACAGAAAGCAACTCATATACTAGATTTAAACTACAGGTTGTGGAGTAATATCTATACTAATTTTTAAATTTTACAGCGAGATTACAGTAATACCATCAATCTGATTTACCATGTAACTAGATGATTAGTTATTCAGAAAAAATGTGTCCAAGTTACAGAATAACTTTCACGCACATTGTTACAAAAATAATTTAGTTGTAATGAAATAGTCTGAATTATTCAAATACATTCTACAGAACGCTTTAGTTGTAAGGGGGGAAAAATAGACCAACAATGCATCAAAAAGTCCTCCCTGGGTATTCTATCATAAGGTGAAATGAAGTCCTGATACAGGCTACAACATGGATGAACCTTGGAAACATCATGCAGAGTGAGATATAAAAAGACAATTATTATTTGCTCCCACTTATATATGAAATACCTAAAAGGGGTAATTGTAGACAGACCAAAGTAGATGAGTGGTTACCAAGGGATTGGAGGTGGAGGCGGGATAGGGGGAGTTACTGCTAAAGGGAAATTGAGTGTTTCTTAAGGGTGATGAAATGAAAAACTTTAGAATTACTGTCACTAAATTGTACATCTAAAAATAACTAAAAGGGCAACTTTGTTGATTTCACCATGATTACTATTAAAGTTACTCATGGGTGAAGATCAATTAACATTCTAAAAATTCCTTTTAGAACTACCCATGACGACAAAAATCAAGTCTTGTGACTCAGCAGCACCTGAGCCACAATCCGTAACAACCTTTAAGGAAAGAAACAACTGCATAAAATGCTAGTACGTTACCTGTCAGATATGACCACTGAAAAAATTCAATGTACCTGCTCTTTGTAAAGCACTGATTAGTTCATACATACCTGAAATCCCACTCAAAGATTGGACAAATTATATTCTAGAAATATCAGTAACACAAGAATATGCTACAACCAGAGTTGAAATGGTCGCATCAGATAAATTAACCAGGTTATCTATTAAGACAGTGGCCTCAGTCTTGTTTGCTGAATCCCAATGGCACTGACTTTTAAAATCTCCTTAGTAACAAAGTAATAGTAAATACAGATTACATACAGAAAAAATATGTACACTTGTCAGATGCTAGATCCTGCACCTGCAGATGAGTGTTCTTCCCTGAAAACGTCATGGCTCACTATAAAGCTTTCTAATTTCCCTACATCTTTCTTGGCAATGGCGTCCAGAACACGTGGCAGCAGGGACTGATTTTGCCAAGAGAAGCACAAGAAATTTTTGGTTTTTAAAAAAATTTTGTGTTTCTGCTGCACATATATTTAAAATAACAATTTTCTTAAAACATAAATTAGAATACAGACCTTTGAGATCTGGTCTATTTCGTATACCCACTGATACAAAGAAGCAATCCATATCAACATGCATGATACAGCTCTGATGTCTGGGTGAACTCAATACTGACACGCTTCCTAAAAGGGAAAAGAGAACATTCAAACGCCAAACTAAATTTTCATATTCTAAAAAGTAGGTCACGTTAATTCTAAAATGTGTTACTTTAAAGATGTTTACAAGCAGAAGATAGTAATTTTTAAACAATCATATTATAGAATATATTTCTACCACCTCAAACAAAATTTTTTTCTTTAGCTGTTACAATTCAGAAATATCAATTTGTGTCCTTTTTAGTTTCAAAATATAAAATCAACTGTAAATAACGGTATGTTCTCCCATTCCACATTAAAATATCTAAGTCCCTAAATAAAATAACTGGTCAAGAAAAAAAGCCTAAAAATCATTTCTGTATGCTGTTAATTTGTAATAGTTTACAATTTGCACATTTATTCACGGTTAGCAAATTAAAGGTTTGATAATCACTATTCCACGCACTTTGGAGATATAACATTTCTTGATAAAATAACAATAAAAGTTGCCACCATTATTGAGTATTTGGTAGCCCAAACACAGGTGAGAAGTGCGGCAGAACAGTGGTGGTGGTGGTGAGTGTGATCGAGTTACTCTGGGCTCACACAATTCACGTGACAAGGCAGAACTGCCCCACAGAACTTCCTTTGCCGCACTCTTCCCAGGAGTAGATCCAGGGATCTTTCCACTCATGGAGCCACTGGGGGTGCACAGTCGGCTGCTGACACCACCAGGGCTATTCTTATTACCTCATTTTACACATGAATAATTACTCAGGTCACTGGTCTGCTTTCAGAGCTCAAACCACCATGCTGTTGTTCTAAACAGATTTCAAAACAGTATATAAAACAATTGTGTCCGAGAGGACCTCAAAGTTCATGGAAAAATAGTAGTGAATTTTCCCATGAACGTTTTGAATCCTACTCAGGATTTTTTCTTCATGCTGCCAAATACTATCAAATCCCTGTGAAGCATATATACCATATTTAAAGAAAAATAGTAAGTGTCCTTTGCTAAGGATTCTGTTTTCTAATCACTGAGAGTACACAGAGATTCATTCTTTTAACAGCCATTCAGGTTCTCCTCTCCACTAGTCCCCACCCGTTGCCTTCTTCCCTGGTCCTTTAAGATACTCAACTCATGAAATAAGAACCACGTGCTAGAAGAAATGTCTGAATTTCATTCTCTACTGAGCTGTTTGTTGTTAGGTGTTATCACTAAAGTTCCGATTCATGGTGACCCAAAGTATAAGCAAATGAAAGAACCATTGGTTGGTTCTTCTTCATCCTCACAATCATTCCCATGTTTGAGCCCAGTGTTGCAGCCCGAGTCATTTCATCTCTTAAGGAGATCCCTCTTTTTTGGCTCTCTACTCCCTTTAAGAGTCTCAGAAACTCCCAGGGGGGTAGTTCTACTCTGTCCTATAGGATCATTATGAGTCAAAATTGACTCAATGGCAGTGAATTGGGTTTTTTGGACTTTCTTCCCTTTTAGTTTTCTTTGCACAATTTATTGTAGTACTTGGGCTTCTTGATCCGCACTTTGAAATCTTTTGCTCACCTCTTTTACTTCATTTCTTCTTTTGCTTTAGCTACTTTACGTTCAAAGCCAGGTTGAGTGTCTTGTGACATCCATCTTGGTCTTTCCTGTCTTAGTGACTTTTTGTTTTCTTCATACATATCCTTGATGTCATCTCACAACTCATCAGAGGAACGTGTTCAATGAGTCAAATCTATTGAGATGGTATCTAAATTCAGGTGGGATAGACTCATTAGTCTTCTTCAGCTTCAACTTGAACCATCATGTGAGCAACTGATGCCTGCTATACAGTCAGCCCGTCCTTATTCTGATCCTGAGCTTCACTACTGCTTTAAAGTGAAATCAGTGAATTTGATTATTGTGCATTTCACCTGAAGGGTCTACTTGGAGCATTGTGTTTCTAGTGTTGAAAGGAGGTATTTTTAAATGAGTAGGTAGTTGGTCCTGCAAAATTTAATGGGATCTCTAGCATAGTTTCTACACCAAAAAACCCTATTTTTCCAACTACTAATCCTTCTTTAAGGAGTCTTGGTGACATAGTGGATTACATGTTGGGCTGTTAATCACAAGATCAGCAGTTCAAACCAACCACCTGCTCTAGGGAAGATGATGGGGATCTGTCTGGTCCTGTGAAGAATAATTGCCATGGAAACACACAGGGACAGTTCTACACTGTCAAATAGGATCACTATGGGTCGGAATGGACTTGGTGGCAGTGAGTAAATGAGATCCTTATTCACTTCCAACTGCACATTTCAATTACCAGTAATACATCTTCATTGTATGTCTAAATGATTTAAGAAACCATACGTTTGTAAAAATCTTTCATTTCTTTATCTTTAGCATTAATGTTAGTGTGTAAAATCAAAAGTATTAATCGGGTGAACTGGTCATCTTCATCTGCATAAGGATCTAGCCTATCACTGACAGTGTTGTACTCTAGATTTCAAATTTGTTTTTTGATAATGTGATGCCATATCTCTTTGTTATTCTCAGTATAGACTCCATAACTGCCTAATTAAAAATGTCCAGTACCGATTCATTCCAGCTAATGCTTAATTGATCTTCAAGCGTTCCATTTCATTTCATGACTTCCAATTTTCCTAGATTAATACATTCCATGTTTTGATTATTTATAGATTTTTACAGTTGTTTCTTCTCAAATTGAGTTGTGTGGTGTTAGCAAATTAAGGTCTCAAAAGCTTTACTCAGCCACGTAATTGAAGTTGACTACATTTCAAGAAAAGTCTTTGCTACTTGTATTATTAGTGCCTTCCAACCTAAGGGGCTTGTCTTCCAGCACTGTATCAGACAACATTTTACTGCTGTTCATAAAATTTGCACTGGCCAATTTTTAAAAATTACATCACTCAAGTCCTTGTTAGTCTGAAACCTGCCCACCATCGGTGACCCTGATCATACTTGAAATGCCACTTTTCTGACAGACTACGGTGATTTTTGTCTTGCTTCGATGCTGGAAGCTATGCCACAAATATTTCAAATATGAGCAAGAGCAAATGAGCTGAAGAATACTGATTCTGAAAGTTTTCTCTCACAGTTGGCTTCAAGTAACTTACTGTATATACTCGTGTATAAGCCGAGTTTTCCAGCACACGTTTAATGCAGTTTTTGCGGTAAAACTAGGAGCTTCGGCTGATATTTGGGTCGGCTTATACTTGAGTATATATGGTAGATCCTGGAAAAGTTTCTATTCTTACTGTGTGCAAGGGACTAGCGAGTCTTTGCTCATTTTATCTTTCTTCAACTTAATACTCCATGCAGTGTGAGTGGTGAAAAGGGAAGCTGTGACTCAAAGAAGTGAACTAACTTGCCGATTGTCCTGAGGCATAAGAATGGCAGCGCCATCAACTCGATGGGTTAACAGGACAGCCACAGCAATGGACTCAAACATTGTCAACAAGCACAAGGTTGGCATGGAGTGAGGCAATATTTTGTCCTTACATATGGGGGTTCACCATGATCAGAGTTGACACCAGGACAACTAACAACATCCAATTCAAAAGTACACTCAAGAGTGTACTCTCCTGCTATACTCTATCCCAGGATGCTTCAAAATGTTCATGGAAAAATGAAATTTTATAACCATTTATGTTTCCCATAAACTTTTTTGATAGCTCCTATTACAATGGAGAAAGAACTGTTAAAATCACAATTCCAATGTTGAAAATAATAATATAAACATAATAAAAATGGCTTTTAAAAACATTCCAACTAGTACAGAATGTGTAAGCCAAATAGATCTATTGAACGATTTCACACAAAATGAAATTTCTCATTTTATTCCCATCATGAAAATAATTCAGAACAATTCTTTGAAGCTTTTAAAAATTAAATGACCTCAAGACACAAGGTCAAGATATAACCTAAGATCTATAAAAATTATTTCAAAATACTATGTGAATTCTAAAAAGTACTTTATATAAACTCAAGAAAAACGAAACCAAATATTGTAGCATATAGCAGGGGGAAGAAGGACCCATATGGAGAAGGCACTATCATTTTCTGGAACATAATCATGAGCTTCTCTCTGTATCTCAGTTTCCCCAGCTCTCCCTACCCCAAGGTCCCCTATATTTGGTAAAAAGCATATAAACCTCAGACCAAGTAGTAATTTATAGTGATTCACTCAAATTCATGCCATCAAGTCGATTCTGATTCATAGCAACGCTATAGGACAGAAAAGAACTGCCCCTGTGGGTTTCTGAAACTGCAACTCTTTGTGGGAGTACACAGCCTCATCTTTATCCCATGGAGTGAATGCTGGTTTCAAAATGCTGACACCTTGAGGTTAGCAGCCCAATGCATAACCCACTGGCACAGAAACAGATTTGTTATTGCTGATTTTGTGTGTTGGTTTTAGTTTTTGATGACACATATTATAAACAAAATACAACCAACCTACTTATATGTAAAAATAATTTCTAAAAATGTACTTCTAAAATTACAAAAACTATCATCTATCATTTATTTAAAAATCATTGTGAGAAAATTTCTAGAAAGTTAACAGTTACTCTTACCAAACCAATTTCATTCTCCTAAGACTTTAAGCACTAATTATAATACACATTACACTTTATACAGTCTAAAGCGTCAACCTTTGGCAACAGCTAGATAACTATAAATACTCAGAATCCCAACCTCCTTACTTTTTAAATCACCTGAAAATTTTCAGGGAGCCACGATAAAATATATTTTAAAAAATATTTTAGTATGGATTGTTATAGGAGTTGTTAAGAACCCCCAATAAAATGATTATATGTATGTGTGTATATATATAAAATTATTAAATGTTCTCAAATCACAATTATACTTACTGAATATTTAAAATTACTTCTAGAATCATAATTATACGTAATAAAACTTATAAAGCCTAATGCTCCCAGAGACTTATATTTTAAGAACTTAGTATTAACTAGACCGATGACAATATATGAACAAAATGATGAAGCATGACTGTTCCTTAAGAAAACAATTTAGTATCTACCTGTGTCAGTTACAGTAAGTGCAGACCTGCCTGTTTTCATTTTTTTTAACTTTTCCCTTCCCGGAAAGACACCACTACTTTGTCTTTGTAGAGTATTGACAAACTCAGTCAATTCACACTTCCATGTTGATATGTGATGCAGTCTCGAATGAGAGTAGAAGTCTGAAATGAAATTGCAGTCTGAAGGCTTGGATGGCACTGAAGGTGCTGCCTTGCTAGGAGTCGGTACTGAAGAAGTGCTTTTTGTGCTTGAAGGCCCCTGAAGAGTGGATTGGTGTGCACCATTAATTTTCATGGTACTATGTGGAGACAATAATGGGAAGGAATTAGTTCTGTGTGGATTCCGCACTGCATCTGCATCTCTGTTGTTCTGTGGCAACTGCTGCACAGTGCAGTCTCGGAGGTCGGTGCTGCTCTTGTCAGTGACCGCCGCCTCCTCCTGGGCGGAGTCTGGAGAAAGCCTGTTGGCAACACTGTTGCCCATGGGCACCATGCACTCCTGGGTCTTTAAGGCACCATTAGAGCTATGAGTGTGGCCATTACAAATGGCAGTGCTGTCTCTGTGATGGGGAATTCCGTTCTGTTTCCGATCCAAAGAGATCTGCTCCAGCTCCACACAACTAAAATCATGATTTGCAGTTTCTTCAATCCAACTGTTTATGCCATTGACTTTGATTTCACCTTCTGTCTCAATCTTCTTAATTATGTGATTTCTAAGGCAGGAAAACAATTTTAAATTAATAATGTCTGACTTTCAAGCTAAAACATCTTTTTAGTTTAGATATTTTCTTATTGATACACACTCTAGTGCTCTTTCCTCTTGCCCCACAAAAAAATGCAAGAAATTAAACCACACACTTTATATTGTTATAAAAAAGATAACTTTGTTAAACTAAAGTACTAACCTAGGAAAATTCAGTAAAATTAGCAGTCTTTTAACCACTCCTCCCCAACCCCCCTACCTTTTTGTGCATTTAAAAAAATATTCTCTCCAACAACTTTTCTCATCACCAATTGAAATCTGAAACTCCAAGTAACTTCAGACCACAGTGACTGGCACTTAGTAGGTGGTCAATAAATACTTGCTGAATTAATACAGTATAAATAGTCCCATAAAAACGGGTAAGAAATGTTGTCAGAATTCTTATTCTTCCTTTTTTAGAATTATGGCGGGATTGTTCAACTTACTAAATCAAATATTCCTATAATAGGATTAAAGTTCTCTGAGGCCTGGTAGTTTACTTAAGAAAAACTACTAATACAGACTATACTGACTAACTCTATGGAACTACTAACTGTTGACAAGTCAATTAAAATTTAACCACTGCATGATCACTGGGTCTTAATGAAGGGAGCGCAAAATATTAATTAATTAATATAATATTAATTACTACCAGGCTGCAGGTAAGACCATTAAGTATGTTTTGTCTGACAGTCCCTTAACCTATTGCCAACGTGGTTAATTCGGAATGAAGCAAGAGTGGCCCCATGAGTAGAATACAGAGCATCACCAACCAATAGAAGGTTGGGTCTAGTTAGGGCTGACCATCTCCTGATTATGATAGCCAACTGAGTGGCTCCAAGTCTCACAGACAGATGAACATGCTAGCCAAGCGCCTGAAGAAGACAAACTGGAAATAGTTAGAACAGGGAAGAAAACTACATTTGTTATTTCAGAGAAAGTCTGGCCTATGAAACAGAGAGAAACTCGGAAGTAGCATATGTATGTCATGTTTTCAAAGAAATTTATAAAGTATGCTGAATAAAACAAAAATTATCACACAAAGCAACAAAAACAAAGCAATTCATAAAAGTCTTAAACCTAGTTTTCTGTGTGAACACATGAGGATTCTTTACATGTATAACAACACATGCAGCAGAAATTTATAGGCCAGCAAAAAAAAATCTTTAATATACATTCTTTCTGTAGTATATAGGTTTTCAGCCTCGACAAATGGGTATTCACAAATTAGCTGTATTAGAAATATATCCTAATAATATAAATATTTACTAGACAATAGCAAAACTTAAAAACTAATCATTGAAAACCGTCCTAAAATTATCATAGGAAGCCTTCAAAATACATGTTTTCTACTTTTATTAGTGTACGGTAAAGAGAAAAGAGTGTATTCTGTTAAACATATTTTAAAAAATCATAATCAAAAGTGTTGGATAAATGTTAATATGCTTCCAAGTTAATAGGAGTTGGGAAAATACTAATAACAACAACAAAAATTATAGAAGGGAGTGACATTGGATCCTCCCAGGTTAATTAGACTCCTGGTCTTTTGGAAAAAATATATCCAACTCCCAAAGCAAGCAATTTAATAAATAAGGTGTAGTAGGCTAAATGATAATGAACCACCTGATGTATAAGTTAAGGCAACACACCAATTAATTGGGAAACTAATTTACCTGGGATTATTACAACTACAGCTTAAATCAATACATTAAAAAAAAAAAAGCCACATTGGAACAAAGTCTACATTTATCCCCTAAACTGAAGGTCATCAACTAAACTTCCATTGACATAAATATTTGTGCATTTAGAACTGTCATGAATTTGGGGTTTTGGAAATTTTCAAAAATTACTTAGAAATGAAAAAAAAATTACTTAGAAATGTTGGAGAAATTTTCTAATACAAAACAAAATGAATTAATCCTGTTTTTGAAAATGAAAAATTCTACAGTAAATTGTTTCTGTGGAAATAATTGCTTTCAGGAAAACATGGACAAATTTACTACTAGTAATTTAAGATCCACTGGTTTAACAGGGACAAATGTATTACAATTGGAAAAATCACTTACATTTAATTATGAAATTAATGTTTAGGAAAGACACTCCACATACATATTTCAGCATGTTTACAACAGGGTGCCGAGCCAGATTTTATATTTGCTTCTGTCTCTCTTCAGCAGAGTGAAGGCCTACTCACTTCTAAACACCAGCTACATAATATTCCCCACTGAGACAAACTTACACCCTGTTGTTGAGCTGTTTGGATATATTGCTTGGGCCCGGCATAGAGTCTTCAGGTTTGCATACGGGATTAAAGTTGAGAGCTCTCTGTACAGTGGACTGCTTGGTGTACAGCTGATAGGGTATGCAGGATAAAAGTCGTCCAGCTTTAATGCTGTAACAAAAACACAATTACCAATTTAGAATTTGACATTTGAAACAAGCTCCATGAAAAAAATCAATCTTCTGAATTGAAGTATCTCACCAACAATCAACTACTTGTTTTCCTAGCTTATTCCTTTTTCCTGTTTTAGTGGACCTGATACAATATGATTTTTCATTAACACTCGACTTACACCGTTGAGAACACAGACACACAGCACATCAGAAATTTTAACAGTAAGTGGGCAACAATTTTCCACAACAGGAAGGAAAAAAATAAAAAATACTAAACCACTTGCTGATAAACTCATTACAACTTGTGGCAACCCAATGTTCATGAAAATAGAATTGTACTTCACAGAGCCTGCAACTAGTTTTTCAGAACTTGATCACCAGGCCTTTCTTCCAAGGACCCATGATTATTAGAAGTATACAACAGTTATGTTTGGGTTTCTTCAAAGGATTCCTAGTCTAATTTTACTCTTAATTCTTTTTATCAGGTATCACTGAGAATGTCTGATTTGAGACCCATAGTAAAATAGACTCTTTATAAAACTTCATGGATTTACTTCTTTTATAAGCTTAAATATTCTGTTGGGTGGCATGGCATTTGTTACGAGTTGGACAAGATCCTATATCTGTTTATGTGACCATTGTTTCATGTTTTTAATTTTAGTATTTATTTTTTGTTTGGGGTTTGGGGGTATTTTTTTGGTTTGTTTAATCATTTTATTGGGGGCTCATACAACTCTTATCACAATCCATATATACATCCATTGTGTCAAGCACATTTGTACACTTGTTGCCATCATCATTCTCAAAACATTCGCTTTCTACTTGAGCCCTTGGTAGCCACTCATTTTCCCCCTCCCTCCCGGCTCCCCTCTCCCTCATGAACCCTTAATAATTTGTAAAGTATTATTCTGTCATGTCTTATACTGTCCGACGTCTCCCTTCACCCACTTTTCTGTTGTCCATCCCCCACGGAGGTTATATGTAGATGCTTGTAGTTAGTTCCCCCTTTCCACCCCACCCTCAGCACTGGTCCTGAAGGGATCATCTGTCCTGGATTCCCTGTTTTCCAGTTCCTATCTTTACCAGTGTACATCCTCTGGTCTAGCCACATTTGTAAGGTAGAATTAGGATCACGATAATGGGTGGGGTGGAAGCATTTAAAAACTAGAGGAAAGTTGTATATTTCATTATTGCTACACTGCACCCTGACTGGCTTGTCTCCTCCCTGCAACCCTTCTGTAAGGGGATGTCCAGTTGGCCTACAGATGGGTCTTGGGTCCCCAATCTGCACTTCCCTTCATTAAATGTAACCTATTTAATAAACTAAATTGTGATTTGCATAAAGATTTAAAGACCAGACAAGTTTTACATTCAACAATTTTTACACATTTTGTTTCAAGTCTTTGACTGCCACCTCAGTGTACCATCGCCTATCTCACTTCCTATTTCCATTTCTTCTCCTTTCCTGACCCTCTGAGCCTTGTCTTGGGTAAATGCTGTCCTTTTGACCTGTGTGGTTAACTGTTTTAACATAGGTGTGTTTAGTTCCAGACACGAGGGGTGATTAAGGGCCATACTCTTGGGCGGG